TTATCTTCGTTGGCACTTTAATTTGGCGTGAACTAGACCTATGTTCAGCTTAGTTTATCATTATACACTGCCGAATTTGTACCATGTTTATCCTATTAATATTCAAAATGGTTTTGTTCATTTCTAGAGAAAGCGGCTAAACTTGCCTCGACTCGGCACGCTAAGGTCAGACTACAACAGGACATCCAAGCTGCAAAAATGATAATCATTATTGTCTTTGCATTTCTTTTGTGTTATATTCCGCCCCTCTTCATGGCAGCCTGGGTTCGGTCCAATTTCTATTCCATTGATATTGCCTGGCGAGGTCACTTAGGCCCGGTTCAGACGCCGCTCCACTCATGTGCCGAACCTAACTGAGGTATTAAGTACGGCAAAAGAGCGGCGTCTGAATCAGTTTGGTAGGGCAGTTTTAATTTGGTGCGGCAAAAAAGTTAAGATCGACAGGGTCTGTCGCATTATTCGATATTGGAGCGGCAGGTGATTCATACGGCGTTCTTCTCATGTGCCGAATCAAATGCATACATTATGATAATTTTTCTTCTCCCTACATGAAATAAAGATTAGGTTCGACACACGGTGCGCCGTCTCAATCAGATGTCGCGCCAATGCCGCTCCAAAGTCAAACCAAAACTCAGTTAGGTTCGGCACATGAGTGGAGCGGCGTCTGAACCGGGCCTTAGTAGGCACCAGCATACTCATATCTAGTGGGATCAATCCTGTCATCTATTGTTTCAGAACCAGAAGGTTCCGCTGCGCAATGAAACAGCTTCTTAAAAATCCTTGCGGAAAAACGGATTTCCAGGAAATCAAACAGGAGCAACGAGCTAGAAAGATTATTCCAAATCGGAACGCACGAGGTGACAAAATCGTGCGCGAGCCTGACCAGGAGAGATTCGAACTTACGCCCTGCTCGCTGTTTTTCCAGTGGGTTGGTAATTCCAAGTGTTACACAACAAAAATGGGTCAGATTGTACAACGGTTTGAGCAAAAGAAGAGCAGTGAAAATAAGGACGAAAAAATTGGGGCGAAAGCTGCTAGAAATAAAGTAATCCCTTTCACAATACAAAACGAGCCACAATCTCACACAGTAAACCCGCCGTCAAAATCGATGGATAACTATACAGTAAAATTCCCCAGAAGAGAACGACTAACACTCGACGCAGATTACTTACGACAGGAGGTCATTGTACAGGTACGTCCTAAACGTAACCATGGTCCACTGACGGAAAAGGTAGCAGAAACTTCAACATCAAGAGATGATTTGGCACCACCCATTGTCATTATTACTGAATGATCTAGCCGCCTGGTGTTCTTGGCAGGTAAAACACTGCTCGTGTCATGAAGACTTCAGAAAAAAAAAAATTTCAATCTGTAGTCTGAGAAATTCGCAAGCCAAACTTAAGTCTGCCGATTACATCATCTCTAGAGAACTTAAGACGCAGGCGATAGGCCAGTATCTCTCCGAAGGTGCAACCAAATAAAACCACTTTAGCAAAGGCTTTTGTTATTGTCGTTTCGTTGGGTCTTTGGAGTGATATTTAGTTTCGTTTTGTAGTAGACCTAACAGTCGCGTTTGAGGTGAATCTTAAGTAGAGTTTTTACAACTTTTTAAGACGAACTGAAACTTGATGACCAACAACTGAAGTCCCATTTAGAGTTTTTACAACTTTTTAAGACGAACTGAAACTTCATGACTAACAACTGAAGTCCCATTGGCCAGAGGGATATTCCCTATAATGGACTATCGAGGAGCAAGTTCCGCCCGCAAGGGTACTTTTTCGAGGGGAATGTAAGGATAGGAATTTCACTAGAAGGTAAGGTATTTGTTTTCAAAGCTTCTCTGAAAGTACATCGGAGAGAAGTAAGAAGCTCATGGAGTTTATAATGAGAAAAATGTTTGTTGTACGGTAGAAAGGGGATACAGTGCAGGGTGTATTCAGTTAAGGAGTATGCAAGGGGACTGAATATTCTCCATCGAAAGTATTCAAAAACGGCTACGTTTGTTCTTGGGCATAGCGACGAAGCATGCCCATTCCCAAAAAGCAACAGCCGCGAATACTAAAAATCCTTTTTGGTAATGTACCAGTCAATCCCAAAACGGCCCATCCCACCGGGCATACCCCGGGGATTTGACTACAGTTTTGGTCCCTACAGGATGGAATTTGACCAAAGTGAGGCTCACCCAGTCGGGCATTTGACTTTCGTGTCAAAACGCTGGTCAGCGTCGGAAGCAAAAGGATTCTGTTATTGCTTCCGCATCGAGCATGACTGTGCACCGTGTTCACTGCCGGGTCATTGCTTCTATATTGACTGTTTTGTTAAAGCATTTGTGACATGGGCGTTTGGTGAATTTGGCGTTTGCATGTGCATGAGTTTCCCCAATTCTGAATGACCGCCAGCTCTAGGGTAAATACGTTACCACGTGGTAATGTAATGCAATGTCGTGGATTAGAGGAAATTATTAACAGCAGGCTCGGACGTCAGCATGCAATGGCGCTAACCCAGTGGCAGCCGCTATCAGTCCATTTATGAAGTTATACTGTAACCCGCCTATAGCCCATGATGTGAATGATGCGCAGTGCGTGAAAGGTAGACCACACCAACGGGGAAACTTCCCATACTCCTTTCCAACAGAAATCTGGTCCTTTTACGCCCCCCTCGATTTGATTAATGAAAGAAGGATGGAGGAGAAAAGGCCAATGGCTTAACGTCACCGCCACAATGACGCGATCATCTTAACTGAGACAAGGTGTCAAATCACAGCCAGCATAATCTCATGGTCCGGCCGGGGTTTCAGCCAACGACCACCCTCTCGGCAGTCCGGTGTTCTTTCAAATGAGCTAACCGGGGGACGGCGGGCGGTAGTTACCCTTTTAAAAATGCCTGTCACCCGGCTTCTAACTAGTTAATCAGTGCGCATAATCAATTAGCACTTCTTTTGCGTGGTATATCATGAACAGATTTACTTAATATTTTCTATAATTGGAAATTTGATTTGATAAAACTCGAATAAAAGAGATAATTCTCCTAAAGTCATACACAGAGACTTCTCATTAATTTTGATCTCGGCTGAGGTGTTCGTTGGGCGTCAGATTTTCTGTGCTACTGTAGGAGTGATACGAAAAAGAGAATAACTGAAATATTCAATGAAAAACGTAAAGAAAAAGCAATTCACTTAGTTTAGCAAACCCATTCCTAATCGGCTGGATTTTAAGGTATGCACGAATCGATTAAATTGCATGCTTAAGATTTGTTGTGTAGAGGCAATATCAAAAGTACCGACCTTAAAACCGTAAAAAAAAAAAATAATAAATGAAGAAATTCTAAAATAAATGAAAAATAAAACTGAAATAATAATCTAAGGCCTCTTTTAAGTATACAACACTGCTATCTCTCACTTTTCTCCTTCTTTAACAGAAAATTATAATTCTAAAAGTAATTCTTTCTAGTTAAGAGAAAAAAAAATCAAGTTAAAATCAGTTTGTGATCATATGCAGCTATACTTACAGTTGTTATTTAAAGCCGGAACATCACCTTAAGCCACTCTAAATTAACATTTCAATTTCATTTCATTTACAATTAACATCTCCTCAGAATTCTTTCTAAAATTCATACAGGCAATTATTATCATATCGCCAGAGATAATTAAAGAAACGTAGAAAAGAGTTTAGTAAAAACTGAACAAATAAAAATTCAGGATGTTACTCATTACAAGTGTTCATCATAGGTTTCCTTTTTCAACTTTCAGCTGTTATGACTCCTAATAATATAGTCCGTCAATAGATCATTATTGTCGGAGATATTTATGCTGTTAACGGAAGCACTATTAATCGTTATCAACCGAGCTGAATGACTGCAGCGCCGCTTACAGCTGCGACTGCCTCACTATTGATGTGACAAATTAAGCCCATTGTGAAGTTTTAATTTGTGTAGTTTACATTACACTGTGTGCAGCCCCCGCCTTGCACGGAAATCAGGCGTAAAAAACCGTATTCAGCGGATAGGTCACTATCTAGAAAAGCATTATTATGTTTTCTAAACACTTATTCACTGGAGAGCGATATCCACCTTTTGAACCGGGGCAACTAGATATGGGATATAAATAAATCTCTACCGTACCACAGGAAAGGAAATCCTGAGTACTGAACTCCAGTGAGGCAAAATGAAAGATAAAGGATCTCGGTCTTTTCAATGAGATCGTAATAGGTATGGCTGTAATAGTTAAAATTTGGCCTTCTCATCATTTTGTGGTACCAATACTTTTTTCCTGGGGACAAAAAACTTAAAATTATCACTTTCAAATTAATTTTCTCTTTTCTTAAAAACATTACAGGCACGGGTTTTTGGGCGCTTAAGATTGCATGTTGACAAAAATATATAATTTTTATCCTGTAGGATTTACCTAACAGACTTACACAACACAAAAAAGGAGACTGAATTAAAATGGTAAATTCCCACCAAAAGAGTTTATTATTGCTGCCTTGTTTTCATTATTGTCGGTTACCATTTTAAACAGTTTTAGCCATTTGAAGGTTGAAAATGAAAAGTTATACAACCGCCTCTTTTTACGCTACATCAAAGAGAAGCCGTGCACATTTTCCGCTTCCGTTTTATTCAGCTGAAGTAAAATGGAAAAATGAAGGGTAGGTTGAATACAGTTGAAACATCGCTGGGGACCGTAAAGTATGGTATCCTGAAATATATTCGGCAGTGTCGGTCAAACGTACGAGAATCAATAAAACTTCTGCCCACTTTAAAAGTAAGGTTTTTTTTTCGGAACCGCTGAAAATGTATAAAATTGTCAAGGTTATCATATGGTGAATATGCAAAGCAACTTTATCGATGTTTGTGGACTAGTCCTCAAAGTCAGCTGTGCATAGACTCCTTCGATGCAGTGTTGTTCTTTGAAAACATTCAATAATTTTTAATGTGGGTGAACCGCCAGAAATATCATGGAAGTCGAAGATTCCTTGTTCATGACAATTTCGGTGCTTGTTTTTATGTCCTTCCTGGCCTTATTTGCAGTACTTGGTAATGGACTTGTTCTTGTCATCATTGCTCGGTTTAAGAATCTTCGCACCTTTCCAAATATTCTGATTGCTAATCTGGCCTTGGCTGATTTTTTCAACGCGTTCATCAACATACCTATATACTTGCTTTATGCAGTCCTGAACGTAAAGTGGTTTACAGGAAAAACTTTAGCGATGATATCGCTTTCCTCATCCTCACTCTTTACCTTTCTAAACGTCGTCTCCATGCTGGTGCTGCTTGTTAATTTTTTCCTGGCGATAACATTTGACTTAAAATATTTCACATCGAAAACGAATAAAAAAGCCATCATTATAGTTCTTGTTGAGTGGCTGGCCTGTTTTATCTTTGCTGTTTTGATGTCTTTACAATGCCGTGATGTTGACCTTCAACAAGATGCTTCTGTTTTAAAGTATCGCAGTGAAGTTCTGGGTAAAGGCAAACCTATTGGGCCAGTCATCTTCTCGGCGTTCGTGGTCATTGCAGTAGTCCTTAGTGCTATGATTCTCGGGTCAATTCAAAAAACGAAACGTCAGGTGAGTCTTCTTTGCTTTAGAATGATTTTCTACATTAAGTGATAAACCGCCATGTCTTAATTTGGTTCCTTGAACTTTTACTAAAGTAATGCAGATACACATCCTCTAACAGGAATCGAAATTCATTTATATTTGCACTGAGATAAATAACCCCGATAAAATGCAAGGACTCCGGGATTCTGATAAGGTGCTTCAGGAAAACTGAGAATGGTCGGCCCTTTTGAAGACAAAAACATTAAGGTTGACTCAGCAAGTACGCTGATGTGAGTAAAATTGCTTGTAGGCGAACAAATTCACTTCAGTTCGTACACAGCGTCCTAACAATTATCTTGCAAACCCAGGGGAATTAAATCACGGCTGACCTAATGTAGCTCTTCACAAACGGGAGACTGTGTATTAGCAGAGGTCGAAAATTCCCTTCCTTGGCACTGTAATTTGGCGTGAACTAGACCTACCTTTAGCTCTATACATGATTACTCAATGGCCGAAGTTCTACTATTTACATTCTATAAATATTTCAAATGGTTTTGTTCATTTGTAGAGAAAGCCACTAAACTTGCGTCGACTCCACTCAGAGGCCAGACTGCAACACGATATCCAAGCTGCCAAAATCATAATCGTTATTGTCTTTGCATTTCTTTTGTGTTACATTCCGCCCCTCTTCATTGCAGCCTGGGTTCGGACCAATTTCTATTCCATTGATATTGCCTGGCGAGGTCACTTGGTACACACCAGCATACTCATATCCAGTGGGATCAATCCTATCATCTATTGTTTCAGAACCAGAAGGTTTCGCTGCGCACTGAAACAGCTTCTTAATGATCCTTGCGGAAAAACGGCTTTCCAAGAAATCAAACAGGAGCAACGAGCCAGAGAGATTTGTCCAAATCGGAATGCACGAGGTGACAAGAGATTCGAACTTACGTCCTGCTCACCGCTTTTCCAGTGGGTTCGTAATTCCAACTGCTGCAATGGAAGAATGGGTCAGATTGTTCATCAACTGTTTGAACAAAAGAAAAGCAGTGAAAATATAGATGAAAAATTGGGGAGGCGAGCTGCTAGAAACAAAGTCATCCCTCTCACAATACAGGGCGAGCCACAAGCTCAGATAGTAAGCCTGCCGTCAAAATCGATAGATAACGAAAATTGTATAGGGAAACTCCCCAGGAAAGAACGACTAACACCCGACGAAGATTGCTCTCGACAGGAGGTCATTATTGAAGTACATCCTAAACTGAACCATGGTCTACCGAAAGAGAAAATAGCTGAAACTCCAACATAAAAGGATGATTTGGCAGCACCCATTGTCAGATGATCCAACCTTAACTGCCTGGTGTTCTTGGTTGGTCAGACACTTCTCGTGTCATGAAGACTTAAAAAAAAAACCATTTCAATCTGTACGCATTTTGAGAAATTCACAAGCAAAAATAAAGTCTGCCGCCGCTTTCATCATTTCTAGAGAAGTCAAGACGCAGGAGATAGACCAGTATCTCTCCGTTTGTGTAACTAAATAAGACCACTTTAGCAGAGGCTTGTTGGTATTGCCTTTTCATTGGGTTTTTGAAGTGATATTTAGTTTAGTTTAGTTATTTACTTAACAGTCACGTTTGATGTGAATCGTAAGTTGAGTTTTTACAATTTTTGACGAGGAATTGAAACTTCAAGTCCCGTTGGCCCGAGGAATATTTCCTATAACGGAGTATTTGGGACGCTCCGCTTGGAAGGAATTTGACGACAAAGTGGGATTGTACTTTTAATAAAAGCGTCTTTGAAATTATATCGAAGAGAAGTAACAAACAGCTGGAGGTTAATGAAAAAAAGTTTGTTCGTCGATAGAAGGCTATATGAGCTATTGAGCTAAATGCAAGGAGAAGTATTTTCGATGGAAGGTATAATACAAGAACAGGTATCTTCTTGGGCCTAGGGACGAAGCATGCGCATTCCCGAAAAGCAACGGCCGGGAGGAGTGAAATTCCCTTTTGGTAATGTACCAGTCATTTCCAAAATCGCCCATCCTTCCTTCCCATCCTTGACTAAAGTTTTGCTCCGTACATGGAGAATTTGAGCAAATTGCGGCTCACCCATCCAGTTGGGCAACTGACTTTCGTGTCAAAACGCTGGTCAGCGTCGGAAGCAAAAGGATTCCGTTATTGTCTCCGCATTCAGCATGACTGTGCACCGTGTTCACGGCCGGGTCATTGCGCCTATATTCACTGTTTTGTTGGAGCATTTGTGAACCTTTGAAAAAGCCAGTTAAATGTGGGCTTTCTGGAATGAACCATTTTTATTTTAATAAACAAACCTTTTAAAAAGTTAGACTGCACCAGCGGGAAAACTTCCCCTACTATGTCCCAGCAGAAGGGCGGGTTCTTTTACGTCCCCTTCGATTTGACTACAAAGAAGGATGAAGGAGAAAAGGCCAACGGCTTAACGTCACCTCCCAATGACGCAATCATCTTATTTGAGACAAAGTGTCAAATCACAGCCAGCATAATTTCATGGTCCGGCCGGGGTTTGAACCAACGACCTCCCTCTCGGCGGGCTGGTGCTCTGCCCATCAAGCTAACCGCTCCGCGGCGGGGGGTGGTTACCCTTTTCAAAATGCCCGCCTCCTAACTAGTTAATCAGTGCGCATATCAATTGGCACTTCTTTTGCGTGGTACTGATGTACTGATTTACTTAATATTTTTATAATTGGAAATCTAATTTGATAAAACGTTGTCCATTTCCTTTTTACGCCGACAAGGATAAAAGAGATGATTCTTCTGGGACTCTGCGACATGTACAACTTATTTTACAGACTACTATTAACGTCTTGCTTTAGAAAGCTGGTTTACTAACTTAGAACAAACGCCACTGAATCGTAGCCAACAGTTACCAGCGCAGTCCAAACGAATTATTGTCGAGATCAAGCAAAACTAACTACGAGAGAACCACTGGAGAACTGATAATTTGACTAACAATAGACGACTGTTAAACTGTGACAATAGACGGATCGAAACGCACCAGTTACTGATTATATTTACTAGTCTTCATAGCCAATAACATCACGGCACAGACGACCAATAACATCGCGATGTATTTGACTAATCAGATCAATAACCAGAGTATAATAACATCAACTGACGTGATACAACTTACTTTGACTCTGAAGATGACTACCGCACAGGTTGCCGAAATATCAGTCACTGTCAACAACAACAGTCCTATTCAGGACTACGTTCATCTGGACGATCAAACTCAACCTACTGTTGATTCTTCTATTGTTATACACACTATCAGAGCCTGCTCTTTAATTTCAATCTCGACCAATCTCAGGTTGGGCTGAGCCGTTGCGTGCCGTATTTTCTGTACTAATGTTGAACCGATCTATTATTTAATCTACTAAAAAAAGAGAATAACTTAAATATTCAACAAAAAAAAGTAGAAAAAAGCAATTTACTTAGTTTAGCAAAACCGATGCCTGATTGGTTTGATTTAAATGTACATATAAATCGCTTAAATTGTATGCTGATTTGTTGTGTGTAGAAGCAATGTCAAATGTACCGACCTTGAAACCGTCAAAAAAAAATGGAAAAAGTAAAAAATAAATGTAAAAATAAAACTGAAATAATAACATAGGGCCTCGTTTACATATACAACACTGCTGTCTCTCACTTTTTCTTCTTCAAAGGCTGAGTACTTAACCTCGTTTTGATACAGAGGTCCGTGGAAACTCGGAAATGGCCTATTCTAAAAGTAGCTATTTCTAGCTAAGAGAACAATTTTCATGTTTAAATCATTTTGTGATCATATGAAGCCATAATTACAGTTGTACTTAAAGCCGGAACATCATCAAAGGCCACCCTAAATTGGCATATCAATTTCATTTCATCGACAATTAACATCTCCTTAGAATTGTTTTTTTAAATCATACAGGCAATTATCATCATAACGCCAAAGATAATTGTTCTTTGCAACTTTTGCAAATCATTTTTGACTTGTTTATTTTTACGTCCTGCAATGCGAAGTTCTCGCAATCCAAAGAAAAAAAGTTGAAAGCCGAAGAAACTGAGGCTTATTATATGATCAGATCAACAAACTAGATCATAAGCGAAGGAGATATAGCCTTAATGGAAGCACTATTAATCCTTATCAATCGAGCTGAATGAGTTCAGAGCCGCTTACAACTCTGACTGCCTCGCTGGTGATGTGACAAACAAAGCTCATTTGCGAAGTTTTAATTTGTGTAGTTTACATTACACTGTGTGCTGCCTCGGTTTGCACTGAAATCAGGCGTAAAAAACTTTACTATTCAGTCGGCGGAAAAAATCACTACCTGGAAAAGCGTTATTATGTTTCCCCAACACTTACTGCAGCGGGGAGCGATATCCACCTTTTGAACCGGGGCAACTAGATATGGGATATAAATAAATCTCTGCCGTACCACGGGAAAGGAAAACCTGAGTACTGAACTCCAGTGAGGCAAAATGAAAGATAAAGGATCTCGGTCTTTTTAATGAGATCATAATAGGTACGGTTTTATAATAGTTAAAATTTGGCCATTTCAGCATTTTGTGGTACCAAAATGTTTTTACCTGGCGACAACAATCTTAAAATTATCACTTTCAAATTAATTTTCTCCTTGCTTAAAAGCATTACATACACGGTTTTTGGGCCGCTTTAAGACCATTGCGTGATGACAAAAAATATAATTTTTATTCTGTAGGATTTATTTACGAGACTTACACAATACAAAAAGGGAGACTGAATTAAAATGCATGTAAATTCTGCTCAAAAACGTTTATTGTTGCCTTGTTTTCATTATTGTCGATTACCATTTTACCGTTTGAAGGGTGATAAAGAAAAGTTATACAACTGCCTCTTTTTACGCTAAATCAAAGAGAAGTGGACATTTTCCGCGCGCGTTTTATTCGGCTGAAGTAAAATGGAAACTGAAGGGTGGCTTGAATACAGCTGAAACATCACTGAGGACCGTATATGGTATGCTGACATATATCCGGCAGTGTGGATCAAAAATACGAGAAATCAGTAAAACATCCTCCCACTTCAAATTTTCGGAACCGCGGAAAATGTATTAAACTTGTTAAGGTCATCATATGGTGAGTATGCAAAGCAACTTTGTCGATGTTTGTGGACTTAGTCTTCAAAGTCAGCTGCACATAGAATGCCTCGATCCGGTGTTGTTCTTAAAAAATATTCCTTGATTCTGGTATTAATGTGGGTGAACCGCCAGAAAAATCATGAAAGTCGAAGATTCCTTGTTCATGACAATTTCGGTGCTTGTTTTCATGTCCTTCCTGGCCTTATTTGCAGTACTTGGTAATGGACTCGTCCTTGGTATCATTGCTCGGTTTAAGAAGCTTCGCACGTTTCCAAATATTCTGATTGCTAATCTGGCGTTGGCTGATTTTTTCAACGCGTTCATTAACACACCCATGTACTTGCTTTACGCGGTCCTAAAAGTTAACTGGTTTACAGGAAAGACGTTAGCGATTATTTCGCTTTCCTCATTCTCACTCTTTACCTTTGTAAATGTAGTTTCCATGTTGGTGCTACTCGTAAATATGTTTCTGGCGATAACATTTGACTTAAAATATTTCACCTGGAAAACGAATAAAAAAGCCATCATTATAGTCCTTGTTGAGTGGTTGGCCGGGTTTATCTGTGCTGTTTTGTTGTGTCTTAATTGTGATGTCGACCTTCAACAAGATGCTTCTGTTTCAACGTATCGCCGTGAAGTTACGGGTAAAGGTAAACCTATTGCGCCAGTCCTAATCACGGCGTTCGTGGTCATTGCAGTAGTCCTTAGTGCCATGATTTTCGGGTCAATTCATAAAATGAAACGCCAGGTGAGTCTTATTTTGCTTTAGAATGATTTTCTACATTGAGTGATAAACTCCATGTCTAACCTAGTTTCTTGAACTTTTGCGAAAGTAATGCGGATACGCATCCCCTACTAGAATCGAAATTCAGTTCTATTTTCACTGAGATAAAGTAGCCCATAAAATGCAAGTACTCCGGGATTCCGCTAAGGCGATTGAGGAAAACTGAAAATGATCAGCTCTTTTGAATTAGACAAAAAGGCTGATTCAGTTGATTCGCTGATACGAGTAAAATTGCTTGTAGGCAAAAAACTTCACTTCGCACACAGCGCACTAAAAACTGACTTGCACGGAAACCAAGGGGAAGTAATCACGACTGACCTAATGTAGCTCGTCATAAACGGGAGACTGTGTATCAGAAGAGGGCGAAAGTTCTCTTCGTTGGCACTTTAATTTGGCGTGAACTAGACCTACGTTTAGCTAGATTTATCATTATACATGATTACTCTATGGCGGAATTTGTACCATTCACATCCTATCAATATTTAAAATGGTTTTGTTCATTTCTAGAGAAAGGGGCTGAACTTGCCTCGACTGCACGCTGAGACCAGACTGCAACAGGATATCCAAGCAGCCAAAATGATAATCATTATTATCTTTGCATTCCTTGGGTGTTACATCCCGCCTGTCTGCATCAGAGTCTGGGCTTGGTCCAATTTTTATTCCACTGACATCGCTTGGTATGGTTACTTAATACGCGCCAGCGTGCTCATATCCAGCGGTATCAATCCTGTCATCTATTGTTTCAGAGCCAGAAGGTTTCGATTCGCACTGCGGCAGCTTCTTAATGATCCTTGCGGAAAAACAGCTTTCCAAGAAATTAAACAGGAGCAACGAGCCAGAAATATTATTCCAAATCGGAATGCACGAGGTGACAGAATTGCGCGCGAACCTAAAAAGGAGAGATTCGAACTTACGTCCTGCTCACCGCTTTTCCAGTTGGTTCGTAATTCCAACTGTTGCAATGGAAAAATGGACCAGATTGTACAACAGTTTGAACAAAAGAAAAGCAGTGGAAATAAGGACGAAAAATTTGGGACGAGGGCTGCAAGAAATAAAGTCATTCCTTTTACAATACAGGACGAGCCTGAAGCTCAGATAGTATGCCCACCGTCAAAATCGATGGATAACGAAAGCTATTCAGGAAAATTCCTCAGAAAAGAACGACCAACACCCAGCGCAGATTACTCCGGACAGGAGGTCATTGTTGAGGTACATCGTAAATTTAACCATAGTCCACCCAAGGAGAAAGTAGCAGAAACTCCAATACCAAAGGATGATTTGGCAACGGCTATTGTCATTATTACTGAATAATCCAACTTTTACCTGGTGTTTTTAGCAGGTAAAACACTGCTCATGTTATTACGACTTCAGAAAATACATTTCAATCTGTGGTTTGAGGTTTTTTTCAAGCAAAAAATAAGTCTGCCGCTTACATCATCTCTAGAGAAGTTAAGACGATTTTTAGCAAAGTCTTTTGTTACCGTCTTTTCATTGGGTTTATTTGAAGTGAAAGTTTTTTTCGCTTCTTAGTTTAGTTTAGTTTCGTAGTTTCGTAGCTTAACTATTTTTTAAGTCACGTTTAATGTGAATCGTAAGTTGAGTTTTGACAACTTTTTGACGAGGAAACTTCTTGACTAACTCCCGCTGGCCCGGGCAATATTCGCTATAAATGACTATCGGGGACGCCCCGCCCGAAATGGGTACCTTTGTGGGGGGGAAAAGGTATATAAAAGGGTAGATATTTCACGAGAAAGAAAACCTGCCGGTTAGGTATTTTAAAACGTCTTTAAAAGTATTTTGGAGCCTGAAGAGAAGCAACAAACGGCAATTATCAGGAGCCGCTGCAATTATCCATTTTATTGTTTTAAGAGGTTAATAACTGAACCGTTTGTTTGACGGCAGGAAGGAGATGGAGAGCATCGTGTTTTTACTGCAGGTATATCCAATGGAAAATATTTTTGATGGAAAAGGTTAAGGGTTTGGGCCTCGTGACGAAACATGTGCGTTTCTGAAAAGCGTAATGCACAGCCGGAAGTACGTCCGTCCCGTGGCGGAGCTACCCCGTATAAGACTCCATAGAGTGTCCCCTACTCAGGACGTCCGCGTTCACAGCCTAGGAGTCCGACAAAGCCCTCTCCGATTTTTTAAATTTAGCTAAACTGATGCCCGATTGGATTGGTTGCGTACGAATCTTTTAAATTGTATTTTTTGGTTTTGTTATGTGGACGCAATTTCAAACGTACCGACGTTCAAATTGTAATGAAACAACAAAAAATGAACAGTAGCAAAAATAATTTTAATTAAGGAAACTGAAATAATAATATAGGGCCTCTATTACGTATACAACAACGCTACCACTCACTTTTTTACCTTCTTTGAAAGAGCATTATAATTCTAAAAGTAACTCTTTTTTTTAACTAAGAGAAAAAAATCATTTTAAAATCAGTTCTGCCGTGAATCATATGCAGTGAACTTTACAAAACACTACCTTAAGGCCTCTAGAATTTAACATTTCAATTAACGTCCAGAGTGAAGACCTCAGATTTGAAGTCGTTTTATAATTCATGCAGGCAATTGTTATCATAACTCTAAAGATTTACTCTGGATTATTGATGAGACGGAGAAAAAGGTTTTTAAAAACCGAACTATTAAAAATGCCTGATGTTACGCATAAATGTATGTGTGAAGTGTTATTACTCTCAGCGTTCGGCTGCTTTGATCTGCTTTGACTAGGACTGATATATAAATTTTAACTCGATTATGAGCGAAATTCAGTAATATCTTTGAAAATGTAAGGACTGTGGGATTCCGTTGAGGCGCTTTAGAAAAACTGAAAATGATCACCTCTTTTGAACACAAAATGGCTGACTCAGCTGATACGCTGGCATGAGTAAACTTGCTTGTAGGTGGAGAACTTCAGTTCTCACTGAAAGAGCCCCCAAAAAGATTGGAAACCAAGGGGAAGTAAATCATAGCTTATCTAATGTAGCTCGTCACGAACGGGAGACTGTGTATTAGCAGAGGTCGAAAATTATCTTCGTTGGCACTTTAATTTGGCGTGAACTAGACCTACGTTCAGCTTAGTTTATCATTATACACGGCCGAATTTGTACCATTTACATCCTATAAATATTCAAAATGGTTTTGTTCATTTCTAGAGAAAGCGGCTAAACTTGCCTCGACTCCACGCTGAGGCCAGACTGCAACAGGATATCCAAGCTGCCAAAATGATAATCGTTATTGCCTTTGCATTTCTTGTGTGTTACATTCCGCCCCTCCTTATGACAGTCTGGTTTCGGTACAATTCCATTCCAATGATTTTGCTAGGCCAGGTCACTTAGTACACACCGACATACTCACATCCAGTAGGATCAATCCTGTCATCTGTTGTTTCAGAACCAGAAGGTTTCGTTGCGCAATGAAACAGCTTCTTAAATATTGCGGAAAATCGGCTTTGCAAGAAATCAAACAGGAGCAACGAGCCAGAGAGATTATTCCAAATCGGAATGCACGAGGTGAGAAAATCGCGCGCAATCCTAACAAGGGGAGATTCGAACTTACGTCCTGCTCACCGCTTTTCCAGTGGTTTCGTAATTCCAACTGCTGCAATGGAAGAATGGCCCAGATTGTACAACGGTTTGAACAAAAGAAAAGCAGTGAAAATATGGACGAAAAATTAGGGAGGCGAGCTGCTAGAAACAAAGTCATCTCTTTCACAATACAGGACGAGCCAACAATCTCAGATAGTAAGCCGGCTGTCAAAATCAATAGATAACGAAAGTTGTACAGGAAAACTCCCCAGGAGAGAACGACGCAGATTGCTCACGACTGGAACTGAACTGGAGGTCATTATTGAAGTACATCCTAAACTGAACCATGGTCTACCGAAGAAGAAAATAGTTGAAACTCTAACATAAAAGGATGATTTGGCAGCACCCGTTGTCAGTATTACTGAATTATCCAACCTTAATCGCCTGGTGTTCTTGGCTGGTAAGACACTTCTCGTGTCATGAAGACTTCAGAAAAAAATATTTCAATCTGTACGTATTCTGAGAAATTCACAAGCAAAAATTGAGTCTGCCGCCGCTTACATCATTTCTAGAGAAGTTAAGACGCAGGAGATAGACCAGTATCTCTCCGTTTGTGTAACTAAATAAAACCACTTTAGCAAAGGCTTTTTGTTATTGTCTTTTCATTGGGTTTTTGAGGTGATATTTAGTTTAGTTTAGTATTTTACCTAAGTCATGTTTGAGGTGAATCGTAAGTTGAGTTTTGACAAGGAATTGAAACTTCAAGTCCCGTTGGCCCGTGGAATATTTCCTATAACGGAGTATTTGGGACGTTCCGCCTGGAAGGAATTTGACGAGAAAGTGGGATATGTACTTTTAAAGTGTCTTTGAAATTACATCGGACAGAAGTAACAAACAGCTGGAGGTTAATGAAAAAAAGTTTGTTGGACGATAGGAATCTATATGAGCTATTGAGCTAAATGCAAGGAGAAATATTTCCGATGGAAGGTATACTAGAACAAGTACCTTCTTGGGCCTAGGGACGAAGCATGTGCATTCCCGAAAAGCAACAGCCGGGGGGTGTGAAATTCCTTTTTGGTAATGTACCAGTCATTTTCAAAACCGCCCATCCTTCCTTCTCATCCTTGACTAACGTTTTGCTCCGTACAATGGAAAATTTGACTGACCTAAACCTAACCCTAAACCTAACCCTAACCCTAAACCTAACCCTAAACCTAACCCTAAACCTAACCCTAAACCTAACCCTAACCCTAACCCTACTATTAACGTCTTACTTTAGAAAGCTGGTCTACTAACTTAGAACAAACGCCACTGAATCGTAGCCAACAGTTACCAGCGCAATACAAACGACTTATTGACGAGATCAAGCAAAACTAACTACGAGAGAACGACTGGAGAACTGACAATTTGACTAACAATAGACGACTGTTTAACTGTGACAATAGACGGATCGAAACGCACCAGTTACTGATTACGAGTCTTCATAGCCAATAACATCACGGCTTAACGGACAGACGACCAATAACATCGCGACGTATAATTTGACCAATCAGATCAATAACCAGAGTATAATAACATCAACTGACGTGATACAACTCACTTTGACTCTGAAGATGACTACCGCACAGGTTGCCGAAATGTCAGTCACTGTCAACAACAACAGTCCTATTCAGGACTACGTTCATCCGGACGATCAAACTCAACCTACTTTTGATTCTTCTGTTGTTATATACACACTATCAGAGCCTGCTCTTTAATTTCAATCTCGGCCAATCTCAGGTTGAGCTGAGCCGTTGCGTGCCGTATTTTCTGTACTAATGTTGAACTGATCTATTATTTAATCTACTAAAAAGAGAATAACTTAAATATTCAATAATAAAAAGTAGAAAACAGGAATTTAGTTAGTTTAGCAAAACCGATGCCTGATTGGTTGGATTTAAATGTACATATAAATCGCTTAAATTGTATGCTGATTTGTTGTGTGTAAAAGCAATGTCAAATGTACCGACCTTAAAACCATCAAAAAAAAAAAAAAAAAAAAGGAAAAAGTCAAAAATAAATGTAAAAATAAAACTGAAATAATATCATAGGGCGTCGTTTACATATACAACACTGCTATCTCTCACTTTTTCTTCTTCAAAGGCTGAGTACTTAACCTCGTTTTGATACAGAGGCCCGTGGAAACTCGGAAATGGCCTATTCTAAAAGTAGCTATTTCTAGCTAAGAGAAAAAATTTTCATGTTTAAATCATTTCGTGATCACATGAAGCCATATATAATTACAGTTAATAAAGCCGGAACATCACCAAAGGCCACTCTAAATTGGCATGTCAATTTCATTTCATCGACAATTAACATCTCCTTAGAATGTTTTTTTAAATCATAGAGGCAATTATCATCATAACGCCAAAGATAATTAAAGAAACGTTGAAAACGTTTAGTAAAAACTGAACAAATAAAAATGCAGGACGTTACGCTTCAAGAGCGTTAGGTTTCTTTTTTTCAACTTTCGGCTTCTTTGACTCCGAATAATATACTAGTCTAGTTGTTATTAACGTCCAGAGTGAAGACCTCAGATTTGAAGTCGTTTTATAATTCATGCAGGCAATTGTTATCATAACTCTAAAGATTTACTCTGGATTATTGATGAGACGGAGAAAAAGGTTTTTAAAAACCGAACTAATAAAAATGCCTGATGTTACGCATAAATGTATGTGTGAAGTGTTATTACTCTCAGCGTTCGGCTGCTTTGATCTTCTTTGACTAGGACTGATATACAAATTTTCCCTCGATTATTTGCGACGGAGATATTAATTGCTTTAATGGAAACATTGATCCGTATCAATCGAGCTGAAGACTCGCCGCTTACGACTGCTTACGACTCGGACTGCGTTGCTAGCGGATGTCAGTGACAAACGAATAAAGCCCATTTGTGAAGTTTCTGTGTGCAGCCCTTGTTTTAAATGAAATCAGAGTAAAAAACTACTCACCGGTTAAAATCACTATCTGGAAAAGGGTTATTGTGTTTTGCAAACACTTGTAAGTCACTGGAGAGCGATATCCAACTTTTGAATGAATAAGTCTGTGCCGTATAAGGAAATCTGACTGAACTACACGACAGCTGATACTGAACCCCATTGAGAGAATATGAGAGATAATAGCCTGCGTAGCAAGCGTTTCCGTTTGGTTTCGGAGCAAAGAAAGACCGAGGAACGGGATTCTCGGTTTTGGTAGCGGGAGAAATGAAACAAGAACCACTCCCTCCCGCTCTTTTACTTACGCCATTTTTCGCGCGGTCTTTGACTCTTGTTCCTCGTTCTTTGCTCCTAAACCGCACAGAAACGCTTGCTACGCAGGCTAGAGAGATAAAGGATCTCGGTCGTCGTAGGTACGGTTATAATAGCTAAAATTTGGCCTTTTCATCATTTTGTGATACCAACCTATTATTTTTCCTGGGGACAAAAATCTAAAAAAACTGTAATTTTAAAATAGTTTTCAAGTTTTCTTAAAACCATTACATGCACAGCAGTTTTTGCCGCTTAGGTACATTGCATGATGAGAAAAAAATATAATTTTTTTCTTTAGGATTTATTTACCAGGCAGACAAGAAAAAAAAAGGAGACTGAACTAAAATGGCAAATCCTGACCAGAAAAGTTTATTGGGTTGCTTTGTTTTCATAATTGTCGGTTACGACCATTTTAAGCAGTTCAGCCTTTTGTAACCAAATATATGTTACAACCGCCCTTTTCTAATTTTACGCTGCATCAAAGAGAAGTGGACATTTTTCGTCAGCGTTTTATTCGGTCGAAATAAAATAGAAAACTGAAGGTTACTTTGAATAGCATTTAAAGATCGCTGGAGACCGTGCATGGTATGTTGACAATGCTGACGACATATCCGGCAGGGTGGATCAAATTACGAGAAATCAACTACACGTCTTCCCATTTTAACAGTACGGTTTCTTTTTCTTTTCGGAATCCTTGAATTACCTTTCAAGGTCATCATAGGATGAAAATGCAAAGCAACTTTGTCGATGTTTTCCAATTATCTCTTGTGGAGTTAGTCCTCAAAGAGTCAGCTATATCATAGAACCCGGGGGGGGGAGGTACACCTGGATATTCTTGGTGGAGGTGTGCCGCCCGCCTCTCCAAATCCTGACCCGATTTCAGACCAAAGAATATCGTTTTCAGATCAGACCTCTAAAATCCAGAGACCGTTTCAACGAACACCGCAGACCAGTTGACAACCCATCTAATATCTCTAAAACCACCACAGTCTCAGAACACGTTCTTACTCCTGATGGTAACTCTGCTAACGACATCACACTTATCCTACTAGAGCTTATTAAATCTAATAGTGACAGTGTACGAAAAGCTACAGAAGCGTACCTCATCGAGAGAGGTAATACTCTTGAACCATTAGGTATGATATGAATAAGAAAGATTAAATGTAATACATTCTTTATTTCTTCTTTTTTTTATCATTTATTTATAATATTTTTATATTTTAAATTTCTTTCAAATCTATTTCAACGGTTTTTGTTTTCACATACTCAAGTGTTATTACATTATCATATTGCACGCTATTCTTTATTTCAAATTGTAACGTCTTAGCTTAACCTCGTCGTTATTTGTAAGTCCCTGGAGAAGGAAGGCCGTGCCTTCCAAAATAATTAATATCGGTAAAAAATATATAGAGGATATTACACGGTGGCGAGAAGATATGAATTTTATTTTCGAATGGCAAAACAATATTTTACTCACTCGCTGCGCTCGTTCGTAAAATATTGTTTTTGCCACGAGAAAATAAAATTCATATCTTCAAGCTGCCGTGTAATGTTCTTTTTATTATATAGACAAAAAGACATCGATAAAATAACAGACTTTTATTCGCCAATTGCTACGGCTCAAATTTACAGTACAGCAATATGACATTGGTTACAATAATCTTGAGAAATAACACTGAGCTGAACAGGGCTCTACAATGAAAAAATGTAAGCAAAGCTTTGAAAAATGTGGAAGTAAAATTCAAAAGATGCAAGACGCCTACAAATTTCGAAGGTAAATCACCGAAATTACGTCATCGATAAGCTCACGTGTGAGATTATGGAAAATAAACCACTCGGGTCCCGGACGTTGTTTTTATGAATTTTACGAGTGTTATATTTTCCAGTAAAACACTTGTGTCCATATAATAAATATATATATTATATGCTCCCTAAAATCCATGCCCGTTTTCAGACCTGGCCTTTCAGAAATTATGCTATCATAACTTAGATTAGAGCGTAAACAAAAAAATTATTCAAATCCATTTCTAATTTGCACATTTCTCTTTCTTTCTTACTCATTTGGAGTAGAAACGATAAAGACGTTCATACACTCCCGTAATTCCCTCAAAAACCATACCCTATTCCAGACCAAAATGGGCAAAGTTTATACCCGTTTTCAGTCCAAAAAAACGGCGCAAAAACCCTACCCGATGGTTCGGCACATACCTATATAGTCGTAAGGGAGAGTCCGCCCACCCATCCGGCCCCCGCACAAAACGTACCCGACCCCGTGTGGCCTACTACACTCGTTTGCCGCCGTCCCCCGTTGCAAAGGCTTAGACTAGTTGAAGCAGGTGTAGCAAACCAAATAGACAAAGCGACCTGATGTGGATATTTATAATGTACCCCCCCCCCCCCCCGCCCTCGGGTATAGAACGCATCAATGCGGTTTTGCTCTTTGAAAATTTTCCTTGATTATGTTTTTAACGCAGGTGACGCCCCAGAAAAATCATGGAATTAGTCAAAGATTCCTCGTTCCCTGTGACAGCAGTTATATCTAATTATATCTAATTATATTTCTCGTTCCCTGTAAGGCAGCAATTATATCTAATGGACACTGTTTTTGCGTTTAAATGTATGAAGGGTTGTGTTCCAGACCACCTCACATCCAAGCTAGTTACCAGAGGACAAGTTTCTGGCCGCATGACACGCAATTCACAACAATTAAATATCCCTTTATTTAAAACAGCTGCTGGTAAGCGATCATTCCAGTACAGGGTTGTCCGTTTGTGGAACAGCCTAGATAAAGACCTCAAATTAAGTAAGAATCATACGGATTTTAAACAGAAACTGAGGCAAATATTGTTAACATCAATTTCTTGATCCCGCGAGTGTTTTGTAGGTTTTAACTTTTTATTGTATCATAAGAATTTTAAACGGCATCTTAGGTAATTTCCTTTTAGGTAAAAATTTTTAAATATACTTGATAATGAATTATAGCTTTTTCTCGTATCACCGAAAAGCCTCGTATGGGAGTGTACAAGAAAACTTCTTAATTCTTACTTCTTACTTTTTCGTGCTTGTTTTTTGTCTTTCCTGGCCTTATTTGTAGTACTTGGTCATTTGGACTTGTTCTTGGAATTATTGCTAGGTTTAAGAAGCTTCACACCTTTCCAAACATTCTGATTACTAATCGGGCGTTGGCTGATTTTTTCAACGCGTTCATCAACATACCCATGTACAAAAAGCTTGCTTTGAACAGTCCTGAAAGTTAAGTGGTTTACAGGAAAGACGTTAGCGATTATTTCGCTTTCCTCACTCTCACTCTTTACCTTTCTAAAGGACGTCTCCATGCTGGTGCTGCTTGTGAATTTGTTTCTGGCGATAACATTTGACTTAAAGTATTGAACGAATAAAAAAGCCATCATTATAGTCCTTGTTGAGTGGTTGGCCTGTTTTAGCTGTGCTGTTTTGTTGTCTTTTCAATGCCCTGATGTCGACCTTCAATACAGCAAGATGTTTCTGTTTTAATGTATCGCCGTGAAGTTACGGATAAAGGCAAACCTATCGCGCCAGTCATCTTCACGGCGTTCTTGGTCATTGCAGTTAGTCCTTAGTGCCATGATTTTCAGTCGAGACAATTCAAAAAATAAAACGCCAGGTAATTTTTTTTGCTTTTGATTGATTTTCTACATTTAGTGATAAACGCCATGTCTAAATTTAGTTTCTTGAACTTTATACTGTAAGCCGATCTTGGAGCCCTCAGTCTCTTGGTTTGCGGTCTATAGAATGTGTAACGAAACCGTAACGCGATCAAAATAACCCATTTTTTCCGAGGTTTTCGACGGGTTTTGATGTTCTAACGACAAACACATCTCCTCTGGACCCTGTGCCTTGAGGCCAGACCGAACAAGATATCTAAGCAGCAAAAACTATAATCATTATTGTCTTTGTCTTTGCATTTCTTGTGTGTTACATTCCGCCTCTCTTTATGGCAGTCTGGGTTCGGTCCAATTTCTATTCCATTGATATTGCCTGGCGAGGTCCCTTAGTACACACCAGCATAATCATATCCAGCGGGATCAATCCTTTCATCTGTTGTTTCAGAACCAGAAGGTTTCGATGGGCACTGAAACAGCTTCTTAAAAATCCTTGCGGAAAAACGGCTTTCCAAGAAACAATACAGGAGCAACGAGCGAGAGAGATTATTTTAACTCGGAATGCACGAGGTGACAAAATCGCGCGCGAACCTGACCAGGAGAGATTTGAACTTTCTTCCTGCTCACCGCTTTTCCAGTGGGTTCGTTTTGGAACGCGAGCTGCTAGAAATTAAGTCATCCCTTTTAAAATACAGGATAAGCCACAAGCTCAGATAGGACGCCCGCCCTTCGAGAATCGCTAGATAACGAAAATTATACAGGAAAATTCCCCTGAGGAGAAGGACCAACACCCGATGTAGATTACTCACGAAAGGAGGTCATTGTTGAGGTTTATCCTAAACGTACCATGGTTCACCGAAGGAGAAAGTAGCAGAGACTCCAACATCAAAGGATGATTTGGCACTACCCATTGTCATTATTACTTAATGATCCAACCTAAGCCGCCTGGTGTTCCTGCGATGTAAAACACTGCTCGTGTCATGAAGACTCCAGAAAAAACATTTCAGTCTGTAGTCTGAGAAATTCACAAGCCAAACTTCGGTCTGCTGCTTACATCATCTCTAGAGAAGTTAAGACGCAGGAGATAGGCCAGTATCTCTCTGTTTGTGTAACCAAATAAAACCGCTTGAGCAAAAGCTTTTGTTATTGTCGTTTCGTTGGGTTTTTGGAGTGATATTTAGTTTAGTTTTGTAATATACCTAACAGTCGCGTTTGAAGTGAATCTTAAGTTGAGTTTTTACAACTTTTTACAAGGAATTGAAACTTCGTGGCCACGTCCCATTGGCCCGAGGGATAGTCCCTATAATGGACTATCGAGGAAGTTCCGCCCGCTGAGGGGTGCCTTTTTCGGTAAAAGGGAAATAAAAGGATAGGAATTTCACGAGAAAGTAAAGTATTTATTTTTAAAGCTTCTCTGAAAGTAGAAAGGAGAGAAGTTAAAAAAAGGCTGAAGTTACAATAAGAAAAACGTTTGTTGTACGGTAGGAAGGGAATGCAGTGCAGGATATATTCAATCAAGGTAGATGCAAGGGGACTGAATATTCTCGATGGAAGGTATTCAAAAACGGCTACCTTATTGGGCCTAGCGACGAAACATGCGAATTCCCGAAAAGCAACAGCTGGAAGTACTGAAAATCCTTTTTGGTAATGTACCAGTCATTTCCAAAACCGCCCATTCCACCGGGCGTACCCCGGGGATTTGCTCCGTATAGTGGGGAATTTGACAAAACTGAGGCCCACCCAGTCGGGCATTTGACTTTCGTGTCAAAACACTGGTCAGCGTCGCAAGCAAAAGGATTCCGTTATTGTCTCCGCATTCAGCATGACTGTGCACCGTGTTAACGGCCGGGTCATTGCTCCTATATTCACTGTTTTGTTGGAGCATTTGTGAACCTTTGATAAAGCTAGTTAAATGTGGGCTTTCTGTAATGAATAATTTTATTGAAATGAACAAACCTCCGTACGACAGCTTTCGGAGACTTAAGATAATTCGATTGAGTTTAGTAGGATATTTACATTTGAATAAACGGTTTATGAACGGCTTTTGACCATCTAATCTGCAAACATTTCGAGGAATTTGACCTAAGGGTTTGCCCTCCGGGGTGGGGTGACTTGGGCGGTTTTGGAATGGACTGTTACATAAGCCGGGAGTACGTCCGCGTTTCGAGAGCCCCGTTAAAATCTGTTGTGGATGATTTTTCGCACTTGTGGAGATATATGAAGAAAATGACCCGCTCTTCCATGTTTGTCACAAAATCTAGAAATACTTAAAGAAAATTTACCAAAAGCGACATATAAAAGGTAAGGGTTTGCAACACGGCTTGTAGCATCCCCTTAGAAAAGCATTTTGAACACTTCCTCTCAGGTGGTGCTGTAAGATATAGAATGGCTTTAAAGAATAAAAATAAAATAAAACAAAGAGTTTCAAAAAGGGAATGGACATGGCTGGAAAAGAATATTGCAATCCAAAATGTCCAGTCAAGGAAGAGATAAACAAGAAAGCTACAGTAGTTTTAGAGGATTTTTAATTCCCCGTTTCTGAATGACCACCAGCTGTAGGGTAAATACGGTGTCCACGTGGTAATGTAATGAAATGTCGTGGATTAGAGGATGACAAGACGCACCCTCTTTACATTATTAACATTAGGCTTGAACGTCAGCATACAATGGCGCTAGCCAGTGGCAGCCCGCTATCAGTCTATTTATGAGCTTATACTGTAACCTGCCCATGGCCCATGATATGAATGATGCGTGATACGTGAAAGGTAGACCACACCACTTGGGAAACTTCCGCTACTCTTTTCCAAAAGGAGTGTGGGTTGTTTTACGTCCCCTTTGATTTGACCAAAGAAAGAATGATGAAGGAGACAAGGCCAACGGCTTAACATCAACGCCCAATGACGCGATCATCTTAACTGAGACAAGGCGTCAAATTACAGTCAGCATAATCTCACGGTCCGGCCGGGGTTTGAACCAACGACCTCCCTCTCGGTAAACCGATGCTCTCCCAGCTGATCTAATCGGGCGGCGGCAGTCGGTGGTTACCCTTTTCAAAATGCCTGCCTCCTAACTAATTAATCAGTGCGCGCAACCAATTGGCGCTTCTTTTGCGTGGTATATCATGAACTGATTTACTTAATATTTTCTATAATTGGAAATTTGTTTTGATAAAACGTTGTCTATTTCCCTTTTTTAGCCGACTAGGATGAAAGAGATGATTCTCCTAATGTTATACACAGAGCCTTCTCGTATCGGCTGAGTTATTTTGTGCCGGATTTTCTGTGCTACAGTAGGACTGATCAATGATTTAATCTACTAAATAGAGAATAACTCAAATATTCAATGAAAAACGTAGAGAAAAAGCAATTTACAATTTGGCAAACCGATGCCTGATTGGCTGGATTTAAATGTGTGTACGAATCGCTTTCATGCTTCAGATTTGTTGTGTAGAGGCAATATCAAAGGTACCGACTTTAAAACCATAAGAGAAATAAACGAAAAAAGTCTAAAATAAATGAAAAATAAAACTGAAATAATAATCTAGGGCCTCGTTTACTTATACAACACAGCTATCCCTCACTTTTTTCTCCCTCTTTAACAGAAAATTATAATTCTAAAGTAATTCTTTGTAGCTAAGAGAAAAAAAAATCGTGTTAAAATCAGTTTGTGATCATATGCAGCTATACTTTTGTCCGGGCAACCAAAATTGTAATCGGGCAAGTATGCCATCAGGCTTACTTGCCCTGCTGACGACTGTTAGAAAAAATAAATATGCGTATTATTATTGTTTACCGTCCTCCTATTTCTGTGAAGAATGATGGTCTTACGCATGCTGCTTTTTTTGATGAATTTCCCATGCTACGGGAACGCCTAATGTCCTCTTCTGGAATCTTACTCTTAAATGGAGATTTCAGTTTCCATGTTAATGATCCATCTGACAGCACCGCAAGTCAATTCCTGGATCTCTTAAATTGTTTTAATCTGGATATCTCCAACACACAAGAACATTTAATGTTCTAGATCTTATTATCACAAGATCAGGTGAAACATCTGTCTCAAATTTATCAGTTCACGATCCTGTCATTTCTGATCATTTTGCAGTTCACTGCAGCCTGGCTGTTAAGAAACCACCTAACGCGAAACTCACTGTTATGACTCGTAAACTATGCAACATTGATTCAGACAGTTTATGTAGTGACATTTGCTCCTCTTCACTACCCAAAATCGAAGAAAGAACAGAATGATATTGATCACAGAGCTCTGGCAGGTCCAACTAAGGTGAGTTGTCTTCTTTGAAACTGCTGTTCTATCTCTACTACGCAAGAAAGCCAACTTAGATCACGAAATTCTTGCAAACTACAGACCTATTTCAAATCTCAAGCCGGTGATCTCAAAAATTATTGAAAAAGTCGTCGCAGTACGTCTTCAAACTTATTTAGAAGCTAACCAGCTAAATGAGCCGCTACCGCTGCCTATAAACCTTTCCACAGTTGTGAAACCGCCCTTGTGTGTGTTCAAAATGACATTTTGGTTGCTATTGATAAACGTCACTATATCATGCTTCTACTGTTAGACCTGTCTGCTGCCTTCGGCACTGATCATGTGGATCACGATATCCTCCTTACAAGATTGCACTCTAAATACCCTATCTCTGGCACAGCTCTTGAATGGTTTCGCTCCTACCTTACTAATCGCACACTATTTGCGTTAATCGAAGGATGTAAATCACAGTCGCGCGAGCTCAAGTGCGGTGTACCTCAAGGTTCTGTACTTGGACCGATTTTGTATGTACTCTGCACAGCACCACTGACCGACGTTCTACGATTCCATGAATTGCAATTTCATTTTTATGCAGAAGACTCTCAATTATATACTTCTTTCTCTACAAACAACGCTAAGGAATTGACAAACAGTATCACTAAGATTGAGGAATGCCTGTGCGATATTGATAAGTGGATCTCCAACAGCAGACTATAACTAAACAAAGACAAGACCGAGCTTCTCTACTTATTCTCAAATTATAATCCACAGCAATCTCTATCCCGCTTCGCTTTGGAACTGACATAATTAAGTCCTCTTCACATGCAAGAAATATTGGCGCTATCCTCGATGCCACTTTGTCAATGCTTTCCCATGTCAATGTCTGTAAATCTACCTTTTATCATCTTTGCACCATTTCCCGCATAAGGAAACACTTATCAAAGCAAACTACTGAGATTCTTATTCACGCCTTTGTAACTTCCAAACTCGATCACTACAATTCTCTACTATACAATGTCCCTAAAAACGTCATCAAAAGGCTTCAATCGGTGCAGAATACAGCTATCAGACTGATTACACGCTCTTGGAAGTGTGATCACGTCACTCCGATTCTCCTCGATCTTCACTGGCTACCTGTTTCTGAACAATTAAATTCAAGATTCTTCTACTTACCTTCAAGGTTCTGCATCAGCAATCCCGCCCACCCTATATTCCAGACCAAATCACCCGCTACTTACTGTGTAGATCGCGTCATCTTTTACGCTCAGTCTGAATAACAGCTTTCACCTTAAGACCTATTGATCTAGAGCATTCGCTGTCTCAACCCCTGAACTTTGGAACAAACTAGCTGACGACATACGCTCATCTAAGTCTTTTTAAGCATAAACTTAAAACCTACCTTTTAAAGAACTATTATTTTAGTCATTAGGCAGATTTATTGCATTTTATATGCGTTTTATTTAAATTTATTTTAATCAATATTTATTTTTTAATTCTAATTTTTTCACTTTGTTAAGCGCCTAGATCATAACTGGATAGGCGCCATAAAAATGTTCTTCTTATTATTATTATTTCTTAGCTTTTCTTACAGTTGTACTTAAACCCGGAACATCACCTTAAGCCACTCTAAATTAACATTTCAATTGCATTTCATTTACAATTTACATCTCCTCAGAATTCTTTTTATAATTCATACAGGCAATTATTGTCATATCGCCAGAGATAATTAAAGAAACGTAAAACGAAAGGTTTAGTAAAAACTAAACCAATAAAAATGCAGGATGTTACGAATTGAAAGTGTTAGGTTTCTTTTTTCAACTTTCGCCGGGCTGTTTTGACTCCGAATAATATAGTCAGTCACTAGATCATAAGCGACGGAGATATTTATACTGTTAATGGAAGTACTAATAATCGTTATCAATCGAGCTGAACGACTTCAGCGCCGCTTACGACTGCGACTGCCTCACTATTGATTTGACAAATAAAGCCCATTTGTGAAGTTTTAATTTGTGTAGTTTACATTACAGTGTGTGCAGCCCCGGTTTGCATTGAAATCAGGCGTAAAAAAAAACCGCGGATAAAGCGTTATTATGTTTTCCAAACACTTATTCACTGGAGAGCGATATCCAACTGTTGAACCGGGGGCAACTAGATATGGGATATAAATAAATCTCTACGGTACCACGAGAAAGGAAATTTTACGTCTGATCAAGTACTGAACTCCAGTGAGGCAAAATGAAAGATGAAGGATCTCGGTCTTTTCCATGATCGTAATAGGTATAGCTATCAGTAACAGTTAAAATTTGGCCATTTCAGCATTTTGTGGTACCAACATTTTTTCCTGGGTACAAAAGTCCTAAAATTATCACTTTTAATCGTTTTTTAAAAACATTACATTTCACGGTTTTTTGGCCACTTTAAAAGACCATTGCATGATGACAAAAAATATAATTTTTATTCTGTTGGATTTATTTACCGGACTTATACAACACAAAAAGGAAACTGATTTAAAACGGTTAATTCCGACTCAAAACGTTTATCATTATTGCCTTGTTTTCATTATTGTCTGTTACCATTTTACCGTTTGAAGGTTGATAATGAAAGCTGATATACAATCGCCTCTTTTTACGCTACATCGAAGAGAAGTGGACATTTTCCGCGCGCGTTTTAGTCGCCTTTCGTGAAGTAAAAGGGAAAACTGAACTGGTCCGTACATATGATGGTATGCTGGCATATATCCGGCAGTGTTGATCATCAATAAAACGTCTTCCCACTTCAAAAGTACGGGGTTTTTTCGGGACGGCTGAAAATGTATAAAATTTGTCAAGGTCATCATATGGTGAATATGCAAAGCAACTTTGTCGATGTTTGTGGACTTAATCCTTAAAGTCAGCTGTACATAGAATGCCTTGATGAAGTGATTATGTAACTTATATGGCTTTAATGTGGGTAACGCGCCAGAAAAATCATGGAAGTCGAAGATTCCTTGTTCATGACAATTTTCGTGCTTGCTTTTATGTCCTTCCTGGCCTTATTTGCAGTACTTGGTAATGGAGTTGTTCTTGGTATCATTGCTCGGTTTAGGAATCTTCGCACCTTTCCAAACATTCTGATTGCTAATCTGGCGTTGGCTGATTTTTTCAACGCGTTCATCAACATACCCATGTACTTGCTTTACGCGGTCCTGAAAGTTAACTGGTTTACAGGAAAGACGTTAACGATTATTTCGCTTTCCTCATTCTCACTCTTTACCTCTGTAAATGTCGTTTCCATGTTGGTGCTACTCGTAAATATGTTTCTGGCGGTAACATTTGACTTAAAATATTTCACCTGGAAAACGAATGAAAAAGCCATCATTATAGTCCTTGTTGAGTGGTTGGCCGGGTTTAGCTGTGCTGTTTTGTCGTGTCTTAATTGTGATGTCGATCTTCAACAAGATGCTTCTGTTTTAACGTATCGCCGTGAAGTTCTGGGTAAAGGCAAACCTATTGCGCCAGTCATCATCTCGGCGTTCGTGGTCATTGCAGTAGTCCTTAGTGCCATGATTTTTGGGTCAATTCAAAAAATGAAACGCCAGGTGAGTCTTTTTTGCTTTAGAATGATTTTCTACATTAAGTGATAAACTCCATGTCTTAATTTAGTTTCTTAAACTTTCACGAAAGTAATGCAGACACGCATTCCCTACTGGGAATCGAAATTCAGGTCTATTTTTTTTTGTTCACTGAGATAAAATAGCCCATAAAATGCAAGGACTCTGGGATTTCGCTAAGGCGATTCAGGAAATATGAAAACGATCAGCCCTTTTGAATTAGACAAAAAGGCTGATTAAGCTGATTCGCTGGTACGTAAAATTGCTTGTAGGCGAAAAACTTCAGTTCGCACACAGCGCCCTAAAAATTGTCTTGCAAACCGAGGGGAAGTAAATCGCGACTGACCGGACTAATGTAGCTCGTCCCGGGAGACTGTGTATTAGAAGAGGTCGAAAATTCTCTTCGTTAGCGCTTTAATTTGGGGTGAACTAGACCTACGTTTAGCTAAGTTTATCCGTATACATAATTACTCTATTACTTCATTTTCTTACCCATGGTGCTCCGCTGGCGCGCTTCGCGCGCGTTAATAGAAAGTTTTAGATCCCAGTTTACCGCGAAACTCTAACCGCTGGAGGTCACGTGAGTCAAGTCTTTCGCGTCACGTTTGAGGTTTACGACGTGCGTTTTCAACGTGGGGAGGTAGATTTTCACGTATGCCATTTACCTGAAAGCTCTTAGCGTATAATTCTTAATGATACAAAAATCTTGTGGAGCAAGGCTTTATCCATTAACAGAGGCACAAATCTAAATTTGATAAATCCTATTTGATCTTGAAAACAAGTGCCATTTATGGCTGCCGATTTAAAATGGCGGCCGTAATCTAATCCACCGCCAATATACATCGAATTATGTTTAAACGTCGAACCGCAAACGGGTAACCGCAAACCGAGGTTAGAGATTCGCGGTAAACTCGGATCTAACTGAACTCTCTAATCAGGGCGGATCCGCCCTGCTCTAATAGCGGAGCTTTGACGCGCGAAGCACGCCAATGGCGCACCATGGGTAAGAAAATGAAGTAATCTACCCATCCGAGAAAATTTGGTAATCACGTGACCGTACACCGACCGCCCGCCCGAGAGACCGTCCGTCTGCACCACAGGCATATACCAATGTAAAATAACTCAATCAAAAGGTATGGCAACCCAAATGCAACAATGCAACTCGAGGTTTTTTTTTGGCGGAAATCGTATAGCCACCGGCGTCTTGTAAAGTAGAGACAACAAAAGATTCCTTGTCGCTTCTGACTCAGAGCCCATTCGGGCTCGAGGAATAATTGTTACTGATTAGCGTCCACACGATTCCGTATTCAGAGCGTATTAAAAAAGAATTTCCACTCTGGAGAGCGGATTCAAACAGTTTCGGATTGGTATGCCGGATTCACGGTTACGTATGGACGGAAGCCGAATCCGCAAAGAAAAAGTTGCGGATTCAAAAATATCCAGATATGGGTTGATGGGTTCTGAGACAAAATGAGAGATAAGGCATTTCGGTCTATTCAATGAGATCGTCATAGGTACGGTTATAATATTAAAATTTGGCCTTTTCATTATTTTGTGGTACCAACATTTTTTTCCTGGAGACAAAAACCCTAAAATTATCACTTTCAAATTAATCTTCTCGTTTCTTAAAAACATTACATGCCCCCTTTTTTGTCTGCTTAAGACCATTGCTTGATGACAATTAAAAACTCGTTGACGAGGACCGGACCGTTCAGGGTATGCTGACATATATCCGGCAGCGTGGATCAAAAAGACGAGAAATCAATAACGTACGTACGTCTTCTCACTTCAAAAGTACGGGTTTTTTCGTAACCTGAAAAGGTATAAAAATTGTCAAGGATATGCAAAGCAACTTTATCGATGTTTTCTACTTAATTCTAGTGTTCGGATGTCTTAGGGGAACTCTGGTTGTCACAAAAGTTTTAGGTGGCCTTTTCGTCTCATCCGAAAGTGTTAGCTACAAGAAGTGCCTACACCTCAAAAACATTGGACCCTCACGGATCCGGTCGAAAGTTCGAGGACATGAAGTAGCCTTGCTTTCATTGGAAAATTACGGGGGACGTTTTGTCGTTATACCAAGTTTTAGGAGACCTTTTTTTCACAATTATGGCAATATCTTGGTATTAAAATGTAAATAACACAACCTGCTAAAATCGTAGTTAAGCTATGAGAAAACCTTCGAATATTTTAGACGAATGTAACGGTTATCCAGAAATTTTTTTAGCTTTTCTTCTAGGTAATATTTGCTCCTTCGAACAGTTATTCTACAGAAAAAAGTCATTGGGTGCCCCTGAGATTATAACAGCTGCATTACGAAAAAGATGATGTAAAAATAATAAGATCTGTGAGTAAAAAAGTGGATTGTTGCATTGATGCAAAATATTATCTACAAAGTTTCAACAGTTCCAAGCGCAATTCGATGTGAATCTTTGTGACTAGTTGTCCATTTGAGTAATTTTACCTTGTAAGGTAATAATAACTTTTTGTAATTATATGTAATTGCGTTAATCAGTTCGGTTACAGCTTATTTTCTTGATTTTTCCCGTAAATGGATCACCTCCCGTAAGCAACCACTTTGTTGTGCACCAAGGGTGGTCGCTTACGAGAGAGTGGGCTGTAAAATAGGGAAGCCCGTAAATGAAAGAGTTCCGGAAGCTGTGTAAGTACTTAAGGTCTAGGGAAACAGAAAATTGAAAATGTTTATTATGACCCTGGTTGGCCAGGTCAATTCATTCCATCGCCAGCTAGTCAGAAGACAAAAGACAAAAAGCCCGTGGACTCGGTAACTGATACAAGTACATTTGTTTGTAGGCGCAAAACATCATTTCAAGCACCGACAGCGCCCTAAAGATGCAACGGTCTCAAAAATGAAGTAAATCACGGGAAAACTTATTGTAGCCATGTCAATTCAGATTCATATGTGTATTCAGTTTGTTAAGGTCGAAATTGAATATCCCTTAAAAACTCACAATTTTCTTGTTGCCATTTTAACTGAGCATCTACTATAGAAGTATAGTATCTTTTATAGATCCGATATGCTGTAATGCTTGCATGGTTCTGTCCATGTTTTTGCACAGCTCGCCCAGGCTCGAAATATGAGCATCGGCGAGCATCGGCGAGCATCGGCATTGTTGCGTAACACTCAAAAAGGTTTACCTTTATATAGAGAGAAAACCGTTTACATAAAAACCCATAAAACGGCCATAAATCGGCCCGTGGACCACACAGGAGAGACTTAACACACATTTTAAATAAGGTAAGCCGTTTTTATTGAAATCCTTTTATTTTCGTAGGTTACAGAAACGATAGGTTTTTTTTCCCATACAAATCCTTATATTTTGAATGTTACGCAACAATGCCGATGCTCGCCGATGCTCATATTTCGAGCTTGGGCTACCTGTGGTTTTTGAGGTTGGTTTTGGCCAATTCTTTATTTTTTCTCTGCGACACATCAACTTGACACTTGGACTCTTGCCCCCCAGAGGACATGTGGTATGGCGTGCTTCTGTGGGTGTTGGGAGTTCTGGGTCAGGGCTTGAAATTAGAGTGCGCGGATAATTTTCATCAGAGCTTTCTCTGGTTGTTGCGCCATACTGGCAAGCGCCAAAAAGGGCGAAACAGCTGTCTATGGCTACAATCTCGCTCTGTTTTGAGTTCTTTCGGTGTCGTGTTGATGTCTTGCAGAGTTAATTTTCCCCTAGTACGATCAGCATTGCAGTATTCTGCTAGCAGAATGTAATATGTCTACATTATTATTTTTGCTGGTCAGGTCTTTATAGATCCTACGTTCTTCGGCATTTTCGTTCGCGTTTTTTTGCAGTCCTTTGTGGTTAATGTTTGTACTTATAAAACTAAGTTAAGTTTAGTTTAATGTCATTATATGTGATCACACTGTAGAACTATCAGTTCCATTTTACATCTTAAATATCCGCAAAATGTTTTTCTTTTTCATTTCTAGAGAAAGCAGCTAAACCTGCCTCGACTCCAGGTTGAGGCCAGACTGCAAAAGGATATTCAAGCAGCTAAAGTTATTATCATTATTGTCTTTGCATTCCTTGGGTGTTACATTCCGCCCCTCTGCATCGTAGTCTGGCATCGGTCCAATTCTCATTCCACTGAAAACACTTGGACCAGACACTTAGTACACACCAGCATACTCATATCCAGTGGGATCAATCCTGTCATCTATTGTTTCAGAACCAGCAGGTTTCGCTGCGCACTGAAACAGCTTCTTAATGATCCTTGCGGAAAAACGGCTTTCAAAGAAATCAAACAGGAGCAACGAGCCACAGAGATTATCCCAAATCGGATTGCACGAAGTGAAAAATTTGCACGCGAACCTGACCAAGACACATTCAAAACCGCGCTGGAACGTGATCAGGACAGATTGCTTGCATGAAGGACAGGTAGGGAAAAAGTTACCCAATCATTATCCAACTGCTGCACCGGGAGAATGGGTCGGGTTGCACCACGGTTTCAACAAAAGAAAACCAGTGAAAACAACAACGAAGAATCGGAACTGCGCGCTAAAAATAAATCCACGCCCTTGACAATACAGGAGTCACAAACTCAGATAGTAATCCCGCCGACAAAATCAATGGATAACGAGAATTATGAAGGAAAACTCTCCAGAAAAGAGCGACCGACATTCAAAGCAAATGACTCACGCCAGGAGGTTACTGTTGAGGTACATCCTAAACGTTACCATAGTCTACCTGACTTGAGGAAAAAGTAGCAGAACCTTCAACATCAAGGAATAATTTGGCCACGCTCTTCACTTGTTTCGTTTTGAGCGAGTTCGGAAATAACCGGAAATTAGCTAATGGACGGAGAGGGATTGCAAGTATCATGCACACTTTACTTCTAGGGCAGCAAGAGATATAATAGATATGTGAGATTGATAATTAAGCAAGAGAGCTTGATTAATATACTGGTATGGACACTCAATTTTAACTGGATTGACAAAAAAAAATTGAAGACAAAGAATAGCCATAGTTGTTTTAAAATAGATTAATTCAGTGTTTCGGACTTTTCCGGACTTGTCGCGTGCTGTAAAACATGTTTCGAGTTATCGAGGGTAAAATTGTATAGAAATGATCTGAAGGGAAACAAAAATTGCTGCGGGTTAGAGGGAGGTTCGAGTTACCGAGGGTAAAATTACAGTAAATGTACGGTATGTAGGAAATCCAGGAGAAATCGACTTTGCTTCGAGTTAGCGCGAGGTTCCAGTTAGCGGGGGGTCCGAGTCATCGGGAGTCAACTGTACTGTCCTACACAAGACGGCACAAATTGAAAAAATCAGATAGTGTAATTTTTTCAAATAAGTATCCCCTTTGCTTGTCTTTGTTCGGGGCAAAAAGAAATTAAAAAGTAAATGAAATAAAAATAATGAACAAAGTCATAACACACTTAGATTGAAGCACGTTTTAACAAGACAATTAAAGCAACGTTTCTGTTGTTGCAAAAGCATCTTCATAACGTAACAAACGTAAAGCACGCGCTCTGATTAGTCAATTACTTGTCAATTACCCATTTACTTTTTGCCCTGGGTGAATGGTGACAAAAGCTAGCGCGCGCTCGAAGCCGTACGCGCCACTTTCTACGCGACTATATTTTTTTTACCTCACGGTTTCCAAAGATTTTTCACTTCATACCGAAAGAAAGTTTCCAAAGACCGTTAACGATAACAAACTAGTTATAGGCGCTTATTCGAGGTGGACGCTTATTCAAGGCCAGGCGCTTATTAAATTTTCACCATTTTCAGTAAGTGTGGTATGTTTATTTTGCAACAAAATAGTTGAATGCTAATAAGTAACAAAGCAAGGTTTCTGTAAAATACTCTGAAGAAAACTCCGTCTTCGGGGAAGTCTCTTATTTAACAATTAATGAATGAGGCTGGGTATCTTATGAAGAATTATGGAGATCGAGGAGGGTGTTATCCGTCGAGGGGCATCCGGCTCCGCCTATTGTGGGAGGCTCTAGAGGTATTAAGAAGTATACTATGCTTTCGGCTTAAGTTATTAACAAAAATTATTCATTCAAAATAATTCCTAGTTTAAAAACATAGCTAAAACAAGCCTACCTGCATCGATATTAAGTTTATCTTCGATAGTTTACGTCTAGGTTTGTCCAGCTCCGCAAATATTCTGCAAATACCAGATGTCGCCCTCCCAGTTGTCTTCTTGCTGTTTTTGCTATGTTTTTTGCTATTATTATGCCTAGTTCCAGCTGTAGTTTTTACTCTTGAAACGAGTGAAGTCTCCGCTATTTTTATTTTCACAACCAAAACAACTCAGCCTCGTTCCCACGGTGCTTTAACCTGCTGCATTTTTGACGTCATTTCCTCGTTAAAGTCAAAATTCTTCCAAATTTGGTCATCAGTAACTGGTTATGGTGAATTATGCGTGTGCTTTTCGCCAATCAGAATTGGGGAAATATTTTGAGTGAATAATAATAGTACTTAACGGTATCCAATTTCAGTTTCGATCTCACTGTCACTCAAGTGGATGGGGTGGGGGTGGGCGCTTATTTGAGTTTAATTGGGAGGGGGAGGGGTGGGGTGGGCGCTTATTCGAGGCTGGGCGCTTATTAACTTTTTCTGCCTTTAGGATGGGCGCTTACTGGAGGTGGGCGCTAATTCGAGGTTGGGCGCTTATTCGAATAAATAAGGTAAATGAATGAATAAATCTACTCATAGAGCATATCATCTCCATCAGAGAGATTTGATTTAGAGTCGAGAGAAACAGTCCTTCGACTACATTGTTGACCGTTTCAGTCAAGCTTATTTATTTATTTAGCTTCGCCTAACTAGAACACAATCTTTATACATGAATAACAAAAAATTATTAGGCAGGGAGACCACTACAGCCTAACCAATTACAGTGGATCCGATTCTTACTGGTGATGCGCCACGTAGGTAGTTGATGCAGTTGCCTATTTTACCAATAGACCCTAGTTTCCAGTTGTTTAAGGCACTCAGATTTCTCTATAATTCAGTTTGTATTGCTCTGTTTGTTCCTTTTTCCCATGAAAAACTACGAAAGGACAAGGGTTGCATGAATAAAGGGATCCATCAAATTGTATTAAGTGCTTGTTTTCTTGTTAAGAACACCCTTCTCGTGCATAACTTATCACAACCCACTTTTAGAACTGTAAAATTCCATGTGACTTGTGCGTAGCCCGAACGTACCAAGAAGTGTGATATACCAATGGCAAAGGTTCTTATTTGCGGAATTTTACTGCAGCTTATACGAGCAATACCAGTTACCTTGATCAGGAGCGTTCGAAGGGTTATAAATCAGGGGAAGGTCCATGATATCTTTCTCCCCCGTGGCAATACAGCGGTACGGCATTAGCAGTGGAAGGCGTAACGTCCCGGCTTTTCCCAGGCACTTGCCTAAAGCTATTTGTAGAGTATTCGGAGATATATGAAGAAAATGGCGTACTCTTTCATGTTTGTCACGAAATCTAATGAAACACTTAAAGAAAATTTACCAAAAGCGACATATAAAAGATAAGGGTTTGGAACATGGCTGGTAGCATCCCCTTAGAAAAGCATTTTGAACATTTCCTCTCAGGTGGTGCCGGCAAGATATAAAATGGCTTTAAAAAATAAAAATAAAATAAAACAAAGCATTTCAAAAAGAGAATGAACTCTTGCTGGAAAAAAAATTGCAATCCTTAATGTCCAGTCAAAGAAGAGATAAACAATAAAGCTACTAACAGTAGTTTTACAGGTTTTTTAATTGCCCGCTTCTGAATGACCGCCACCTCTAGGGTAAATACGGTTACCACGTGGTAACTGATAATGTAATGTCGTGGATTAGAGGACAACAAGACGCACCCTCTCCACAGCAGTCTCGGACGTCAGCCAATGGCCCTAAGCCAGTGGCAGCTGCTATCAGTCCATTTATGAACTTATACACTGTAACCCACCCATAGCCCATGGTATGAATGATGTGCAATGCGTGAAAGGTAGACCACGCCACCGGGGAAACTTCCCCAACTCTTTTCCAACAGGAGTGTGGCTTCTTTTACGTCCCCTTCGATTTGACCATTGAAAGAAGGATGAGGGAGAAAAGGCCAACGGCCTATCGTCACTGCCCAATGACGCGATCATCTTAACTGAGACAAGGTGTGAAATCACAGCCAGCATGATCTCACGGTCCAGCCGGGGTTTGAACCAACGACCTTCCTCTCGGCAGACCGGTGCTCTTCCAAATGAGCTAACCGAGGGGCGGCAGGCGGTGGTTACCCTTTTCAAAATGCCTGTTACCCGGCTTCTAACTAGTTAATCAGTGCGCACAATCAATTGGCACTTCTTTTGCGTGGTATATCATGAACTGATTTACTTAATATTTTCTATGATTGGAAATTTGATTTGATAAATCGTTGTCTATTTCCCTTTTTTAGCCGACTCGAATAAAAGAGATAATTCTCCTAATGTCATACACAGAGCCTGCTGTTTAATTTCAATCTCGGCTGAGGTGCTGCGTGCCGATCTTCTGTGCTATACTGTAGGATTGATCAATGATTTGATCTACGAAAAAGAGAATAACTTAAATATTCAATGAAAAACGTAGAGAAAAAGCAATTTACTTAGTTTAACAAACCCATGCCTTAATGGCTGGATTTCAATGTATGCACGAATCGATTAAATTGCATGCTAAAGATTTGTTGTGTAGAGGCAATATCAAAAGTACCGACCTTAAAATCGTAAAAAAAAAAAAATGAAGAAAGCCTACTAAAATACATGAAAAATAAAACTGAAATAATAATTTAAGGCCTCGTTTATGTATACAACACTGCTATCTCTCACTTTTTCTCCTTCTTTAACAGAAAATTGTAATTCTAAAAGTAACTCTTTCTAGTTAAGAGAAACTAATCAAGTTATTATCAGTTTCTGATCATATGCAGCTAAACTTTCAGTTGTTACTTAAAGTCGGAACATGAAGCCACTCTAAATTAACATTTCAATTTCATTTCATTTACAATTAACATCTCCTCAGAATTCTTTCTAAAATTCATACAGGCAATTATTATCATATCGCCAAATGATAATTAAAGAAACGTAAAAAAGGTTTTCTAAAAACTGAACAAATAAAAATTCAGGATGCTACGCATTAAAACAGTTTTAGGTTTCTTTTTTCAACTTTCGGCTGTTTTGACTCCAAATAATATAGTCCTGCAGTCACTAGATCATAATTATCGGAGATATTTATACCGTTAATGGAAGCTTTCTTAATCGCTATCAATCGAGCTGAAAGACTTCAGCGCCGCTTACGACTGCCACTGCCTCATTGGTGATGTGACAAATAAAGCCTATTGGGGAAGTTTTAATATAGTTTACATTACACTGTGTGCAGCCCCGGTTTGCACTGAAGTCAGGCGTAAAAAACCGTATTCAGCAGATACGTCACTATCTAGAAAAGCGTTATAAATTATGTTTTTCAAACACTTATTCACTGGAGAGCGATATCCAACTTTTAAACCGGAGCAATTAGATACGTGAGCCGATACGGGATATAAATAAATCTCTGCGGTACCACCAGGGAGGCAAAATGAAAAATAAAGGATCTCGGTCTTTCACAATGATCGTAATAGGTATAGCTATCAGTAACAGTTAAAATTTAGCCATTTCAGCATTTTGTGGTACCAACATTTTTTCCTGGGTACAAAAATCCTAAAAATTAAAGTTATCACTTTTAAATCAATTTACTCGTTTTGAAAACATTACATGCGCGGTCTTTTGGCCACTTTAAAAGACCATTGCATGATGACAAAAAATATAATTTTTATTCTGTAGGATTTATTTACCAGACTTATACAACACAAAAAAGGAGACTGATTTAAAACGGTTAATTCCGACCAAAAACGTTTATCATTATTGCCTTGTTTTCATTATTGTCTGTTACCATTTTACCGTTTAAAGGTTGATAATGAAAGCTGATATACAATCGCCTCTTTTACGCTACATCAAAGAGAACTGGACATTTTCCGCGCGTTTTATTCGCCTTTAGTGAGGCATGAAGTAAAATGGAAAACTGGACCGGTAGTTTAAAAACAGTTCAAACATCGCTGAGGGCCGTACATATGATGGTGTGCTGACATATATCCGGCGATGTGGATCATCAATAAAACGTCTTCCCATTTCAAAAGTACAGGGTTTTTTTAGAACCGCTGAAAATGTATAAAATTTGTCAAGGTCATGATATGGTGAATATGTAAAGTAACTTTGTCGATGTTTGTGGACTTAATCTTTAAAGTGAGCTGTACATAGAATGCCTCGATGCAGTAATTGTGTAATTTATATGACTTTACGGTGCTCGTGACACGCCAGAAAAATCATGGAAGTCGAAGATTCCTCCTTGTTCATGACAATGTTCGGGCTTGTTTTTATGTCCTTCCTGGCCTTATTTGCAGTACTTGGTAATGGACTTGTTCTTGGTATCATTGCTCGGTTTAAAAAGCTTCACACCTTTCCAAACATTCTGATTGCTAATCTGGCGTTGGCTGATTTTTTAAACGCGTTCATTAACATACCCATGTACTTGCTTTACGCGGTCCTGAAAGTTAACTGGTTTACAGGAAAGACGTTAGCGATTATTTCGATTTCCTCACTTTCACTCTTTACCTTTGTAAATGTCCTTTCCATGTTGGTGCTACTCGTAAATATGTTTCTGGCGATAACATTTGACTTAAAATATTTCACCTGGAAAACGAATAAAAAAGCCATCATTATAGTCCTTGTTGAGTGGCTGGTCGGGTTTAGCTGTGCTGTTTTGTCGTGTCTTAATTGTGATGTCGATCTTCAACAAGATGCTTCTATTTTAACGTATCGCCGTGAAGTTCTGGGTAAAGGCAAACCTATTGTGCCAGTCATCATCTCGGCGTTCGTGGTCATTGCAGTAGTCCTTAGTGCTATGATTTTTGGGTCAATTAAAAAAATGAAACGCCAGGTGAGTCTTTTTTGCTTTAGAATGATTTTCTACATTAAGTGATAAACTCCATGTCTTAAATGTAGTTTATTGAACTTTCACGAAAGTAATGCAGACACTCATCCCCTACTAGGAATCGAAATTCAGTTCTATTTCCACTGAGATAAAATAGCCCATAAAATGCAAGGACTCGATCTGGGATTCCGCCAAGGCGATTGAGGAAATCTGAAACGATGATCGTGATTGTGGGCGAAAAACTTCAGTTCGCACAGTACACAGCGCCCTAAAAATTGACTTGCGCGCAAAATAAGGAGAAGTAAATGACGACTGACCTAATGTAGCTCGTCCCGAGAAACTGTGTATTAGAAGAGGTCGAAAATTCTCTTCGTTGGCACTTTAGTTTGGGGTGGACTAGACCTACGTTTAGCTAGGTTTATCCGTATACATAATTACTCTATGGCCCAATTTGTACCATTTACATCTTATAAGAAGGTGTTGCTGCGCACTGAAACAACTTCTAATAATGATCCTTGGGGAACAACAGCTTTCCAAGAAACTAAACAGGAGTAACAAGCCAGAAAGATTATTCCAATTCGGAATGCACGAGGTGACAAAATCGAGCGTTAAGTTGACCAGGAGGGTTTCGAACTCCCTTTTCCAGTGGGTGTGTAATTCCAACTGCTGCAGAGGAAAAATGAGTCAGATTGCACAACGGTTTGAGCAAAACGGAAAAGCAGTGAAAACAAGGCCGAAAATGTTCAGTTGTCTTAGAGGAACTCTGGTCGTCACAAAAGTCTTAGGTCCTCCGCAGGAAATCCCTTTCGTAACAGTTACCCTCACGGGTCCGGTCGAAAGTTCGAGGACATGAAGTAGCCTTGCTTTTATTAGAAAACTACAGGGGACGTTTTGTCGTTATACCAAGTTTTAAGAGACCTTTCTGTTTTACAATAATGTCAATATCTTGGTATTAAATGTAAATAACACAAGCTCCTAAAATCGTAATTAAGCTAAGAGGAAACCTCCCAATATTTTAGACGAATGGAACGGTTATCCAGAATTTTTTAGCTTTTCTTACGCTTCAGAAATTTCTAGGCAATATTTGCTCCTTCAAACAGTTATTTTTACAGAAAAAGGTCACTGGGTGCCCCTGAGATTATAACAGCTCTATTACAAAAAAGATGTTGTAATACGATCTGTGAGTAAGAAAGTGGATTGTTGCATTGATGTAAAATGTTATATACAAAGTTTCAATAATTCTAAGCGCAATTCGATGTAAAACTTTTTTTCTTAATAGTTGTCCATTTGACTAATTTTAGCTTGTAAGGTAATAACTTTATGTAATTAGTATGTGTAATTACGTTAATCAGTTCGGTTTGAGCCTTTTTTCTTGATTTTTGCCGCAGATGGACAACCTCCCGTAAGCAACCACCTGACTCGTCCCTAGTTGTCTCTCTCTCTGTTTCTCCTTAGTGGTGCGAGGGGTGTGATGGGAAGGAGGAAAGCGAGGGAGAGAGAGTCTTCCTCCCTTTTCCCTTCCCATCACCCCATGCTCTCGCCGCGCGCGTCGATCAGGCGAAGACGACTGGGGACGAGTCAGAGTAACCACTTTGTCGTGCACCATGGGTGGTCGCTTACGAGAGAGTTGACTGTAAAATAGGCAAGCCCGTAAATGAAAGAGTTCCGGGAATCTATTAAGTACTTCAGGTCTTGGGAAACTGTAAATTGAAAATGATTATTATGATCCTGGTTGGCTAGGTCAATTTATTCCATTGCCAGCTAGTCAGAAGACAAAAGACAAAAAGCCAGACTCTCTAGCTGATACAAGTACATGTAGCCATTTACAATGCAGATTCATATGTGTATTTGCAGAGGTCGAAATTGAATATTCCTTAAGAACTTCACAATTTTCTTTGCTGCAATTTTAACTTAGCGTCTACTATAAAACTAAGTTAAGCTTAGTTTAATATCATTACATGTGGTGTTATTTACATCCGTAAATATCCGCAAAATGTTTTTTTCATTTTTTAGAGAAAGCAGCTAAACCTGCCTCGACTCCAGGCTGAGGCCAGACTGCAAAAGGATATTCAAGCAGCTAAAGTTATTATCATTATTGTCCTTGTATTCCTTGGGTGTTACTTTCCGCTCTTGTGCATGATAATCTGGCGTCGGTCCAATTCCCATTCCACTGATAACACTTGGAATTATCACTTAGTACACACCAGCATACTCACATCCAGTGGGATCAATCCTATCATCTATTGTTTCAGAACCAGCAGGTTTCGCTGCGCACTGAAACAGTTTCTTAATGATCCTTGCGGAAAAACAGCTTTCCAAGAAATCAAACAGGAGCAACGAGCCACAGAGATTATCTCAAATCGGATTGCACGAAGTGAAAAATTTGCACGCGAACCTGACCAAGACACATTCAAAACCGCGCTGGAACGTGATCAGGACAGATTGCTTGCATGAAGGACAGGTAGGGAAAAAGTTACCCAATCATTATCCAACTGCTGCACCGGGAGAATGGGTCGGGTTGCACCACGGTTTCAACAAAAGAAAACCAGTGAAAACAACAACGAAGAATCGGAACGGCGCGCTGATAATAAAGCCACGCCCTTGACAATACAGGAGTCACAAACTCAGATAGTAATCCCGCCGGCAAAATCAATGGATAACGAAAATTGTGAAGAAAAACTCTCCAGAAAAGAGCGACCGACATTCAAAGCAAATGACTCACGCCAGGAGGTTACTGTTGAGGTACATCCTAAACGTTACCGTAGTCTACCTAACTTGAGGAAAAAGTAGCAGAACTTTCAACACCAAGGAAAAATGTGGCCACGCTCTTCACGTCAGTGTTTCGTTTCGAGTGACTTCGGAAATAACCGGAAACAAGCAAATTAATAAGCAAATGGACAGAGAGGGAATGCAAGTATCATGCACACTTTACTTCTAGGGCAGCAAGAGATATAGATATGTGAGATTGATATTTTGAAAAAGGAATTAAGCAAGAGAGCTTGATTAATATACAAGTATGGACAATCAATTTTAACTGGATTGACAAAAAAAAATGAAGACAAAGACTTGCCATAGTTGATTGAAAATAAATTAATTCAGTGTTTCGGACTTTTCCGGACTTGTCGCGCGCTGTAAAACATGGTTCGAGTTGTCGAGGGTAAAATTGTATAGAAATGATCTGAAGGGATACAAAAATTACTTCGGGTTAGCGGGAGGTTCGAGTTACCGAGGGTAAAATTACAGTAAATGTATGTAGAAAATCCAGGAGAAATCGACTTTGCTTCGAGTTAGCGCGAAGTTCCAGTTAGCGAGGGATCGAGTCATCGGGAGTCAAATGTACTGTCCTACACAAGACGGCAAAAATTGAAAAAATCAGATAGTGTAATTTTTTTTCAATTATACTACTACATGAGAAATTTCTGCAATTTGATTGGCTGAGAGCAGTGGTATTTCAGCTTAATTTGAAATACCTACATGTGAAAATTACAAACCTTTTGAGGGTAGTAGCATAAACAAATAATGGCATGATTTGTATGTGATATTTGGCATAAATACCACTCGTGATATTTCAAAATTGTCTCAAATTTCACTCGCCTAACGGCTCGTGAAATTTCGTATAACAATTTTGAAATATCACTCGTGGTATTTATGCCAAATATCACTAGAAAAGAATGATACGGCAAAAGGAGGTAAAAACATAATGCATTTATTACAAATTTTACAAATTTATTAACGTTCTAAACGCGCTCCCTTTCCCATATATAAATATTATTAAGCTATAAAATAAGTTGGTTACCCCAAGCTCTCCATTTCGAATGGCGATAAAAGCGGGAGACAACGCCCGAATTAGCAGCAGCGCCGGCGCCTCGCTCGCTCTTTCGCGTGTAGCTCAAGTGACCTCTCTAGATATCCCCCAAATTAGGAGCGTACACGCAGGCTGCAACTTAAGAGACTAAGAACTTTCGGACGCTGGGCTCACACTGGCCGCGCAGACAATGAGTCTGACATTTTTCACTACATGTGTTTGCACTGTGAGTTTGTTACTTAAAGTCTCCGCTTCCGGTGTTAATAGATACACTGATCTGTTACCCTGTAGTTAGAAATAAGAGAGAGTAAAAGAATGGTCAGTAAATGGGAGAAATGGAGGGGAATTATGATGTTTGTCTTAGTGAAAAGTTTACACTGTTCAAACCCCACTTACTACCCCGATATGGATAAGGAAGGATAAGGGATATGAAAAGAGATAAGTATTAGGGGCAGGAATTTGGGTGCTTGACAAGATGTTGGGGAAGAACAAAAAGTGTTTGTGACCAAGCGAGCAAAAGGCGTGAGAGCAGAAAATCCAGCGTGTCATCCTGTCAAAGCCCCCTCTTCACCCCTACTTCCCCAAAGACCTTCTGTCCTCCACTGAAGTAACCTTAAGACGTACCTGTACGAGTGGATATTGAATGCTGTCGTTCAACAAAATAGTCCGGACGCCATTGTCACCACCGAAACTGAGGCACACTTCGTCACCATTAAAATCTGCTCTCACACAGAATAATACCACTTTGGTACCTGAAAAGAAAAGAAACTAATAATAAATATACAAATAAATGAATGAATAAATCTACTCATAGAACATATCATCTCCATCAGAGAGATTTGATTTTGGAGTCAAGAGAAAGAGTCCTTCTTGTCGGCTACTTTGGGGAGCAAGGGTGGCGCAATGGTGAGAGCGCTCGCCTCCCACCAATGTGGCCCGGGTTCAAATCCTCGCGTCGACGCCATATGTGGGTTGAGTTTGTTGTTGGTTCTCTCCTTTGCTCCGAGAAGTTTTTCTCCGGGTATTCCGGTTTTCCCCTCTCCTCAAAAACCAACATTTTCAAATTTCAATTCGACCAGGAATCATGTAGACGAAGAACCACTATGTGGATGTGCTACCTGCAAATCGTTTTATTTGTTGTTTATTTATTTAACCGTTTTAGTCAAGCTGATTCTTACTGTTGATGCGCCACGTTGCCATGTAGGTAGTTGATGCAGTTGACTACTTTACCAATAGACCCTAGTTTCCATTTGTTTTAGGCACTCGGATTTCTCTATAACAGTTTGTATTGCTCTGTTCGTTACGTTTTCCCATGAAAAACTACGAAAGGACAAGGGTTGCATGAATAAAGAGATCCATCAAATTTTATTAAGTGCTTGTTTTCTTGTTAGGAACACCTTTCTCGTGCATAACTTATCACAACCCACTTTTAGAAATGTAAAATTCCATGTGACTTGTAGAAAGCCTGAACATACCAAGAAGTATGATATACCAGTGGCAAAGGTTCTTATATGCGGGATTTTCCTGCAGCTCATAACAATAGCAATACTAGTTACCTTGAGGAACTTTAGAATGATTATAAATCAGGGGAAAGTTCAGGATATCTTTCTCCCCCGGGGCAATACAGCGGTACGGCATTAGCAGTGGAAGGCGTAACGTCCCGGCTGCTCCCAGGCACTTGCCTAAAGCTATATGTAAAGTATTCGCCAAACTACGAGAGAAGGAAAGAAAGAAACAAAAATAAACGGTTACTCTTGTAAATGCATCACCCTCAGTCGGGAACAGCCTGCCAGCTTACCGCTTAACCCTTTAAGCCCTGAGAGCGATCAACAGATAGTCAATCGCCTACCGATATCAGCAAGATAAGGAGAGGAGGACTGGGAAGGAGTCAACACAAAACCCATAGCTGGCTAGACAACATGTTGCTTAACGAAATCTGCTCTATTAGGAGGTTAGTTTCTGAAAAATCTCTGGTGCTACGTCGGTGTGGAAGTGAAACACAGACCTTAAAACAAATGATAAAGTTTAGTTACAATCCTCGTTAAGTTACAAACCTCTCTTCATGATCCGAGAGCAATTTCTGTATCTCAAAATGTTGGTTTTTCAGTGCAATCTGCATTGCTGTCAGCTCGTAGCTGGTTGTAGCTTTAGTATCGACTCCATGTCTTAACAAAACTCCCACTACATCCTCGTGGCCCTTCTTACAAGCCTGTAAGAAAAGGAATGAGTAAAACAAATGAAAGAGAATGATATAGCGAAAAACTGAAAAGGAGAGAAAAAGGAACCAATTGAAACCAAACTGGATGGCGGTTAAAAGAAAATCATGAGTTTACAATCCCTTTGTAAGCGCCTTAGGCTCTGTTCACACTATCCCAGATAGCTCTTGCGCCGGCGCGAAAACCATCTCTTCTGTTCACACTTAAGAATGTTCATTTCGGCGCGGTTTCTGTAACGGAGCGGAGCTGTGCCGCGCCGATCTCGAAGGTAACGCGTCACATATCGGATAGGCGAATCCTTGTTTACATTTTTGTCTCATTAGCATAGGCTTATCATTATCTGATGAAGCTAATAAAATGAAATTTCCGAATATTGAAAGAGCATAACAATTTCAGTTATCTCTGAATATTTGAGCCCGATATACCAAATAGTTTTAGAGAAATTCTCTTTGAAAAACCCCAAAATTTACAAAGAGTGTATAAGCGCATTAACGTTTTGCCACTCAGTAATTTTGCAGTTTTTAATTGCTGCTATTTTCTTTGTTACTGATTACAAAGAGCTGAAACTTGCAGAAAATGCTTAAATTAACCAGCTCTTTTAATTTTTGAACTAACTGGTATATATGGCTACATCTTTCATGGGTTAACTCGTATGCAAATGAGAAAAAATGTAAACAGTGACGTCACGATGAATCCGTCTAAGGTTCTGTGCCACTTTAACTGTGCCACACTTTGGTGTAGTGTGAACAAAAGTGTGAACAGGTGTTCGTACCATAGCGAAAGTGAATAAATAGGAGCGAGGACTGGAACACAACTGTCAAAACGAAAAGCTACCGGTATCAACCCGGTATCCGGCATAGCGTAGGTTGTAGACATTGCGTTAGGTTTTATTTGTTTTCACTCTCCGGATAAAACTCACCCTTATAAGCGCCGTTTCTCCTGCAGTGTTTTGCCAATTAATGTGAGCTCCAGACTCCAAAAGAATCTGCACGGTTTTAGGATAACCCTTAAGAGTTGAAGGAAAATTATAAAAATGCTTTAAAAATGAACTGAATAAGATGTCCAGCGAAGGATTATTCGTGACATATCGTCAAAATTTAATTTAAGACAAGCAATAATTATGTTATTTGTATGTGGTGACGAATTACGATTACAATGGTGGATTTTTGACATGATTATCCTGGTTTTCTCGCATCGATCGGAGAACTCCACGTTCTCAAACTGAGTTTAGAACTTAAATTTGGCTTAAGCTCAGAATTTTCGAGTGTCTCTTCAAATTACCAGTTAGAATCCTTCTTGAGTGATGCAAGTGCTCTTTCGTGTGTTTAGGTTTTCCAAAGCGTCTTAATTCGATTTATATGCCTTAACATCTTCATTCATAACATTTTAAAACTTTGTCGCCATCTTGGCACTTAGACGTACGGAAGGTTGCCATAGCAATTTTGTAATTAGGCATAGGCAAACGAAGACGGGAACATAAAATCGATCGAGGTAAGCATGTTTCAGCTTGTGTTCAAACTATGAACCAGAGTCAACAGCAAACACAACCCAAATCCTGAGCGTTGCTGCTGGGACTTGAACTCGAGCCTGTAGCCGACAACCAAAAAAATACATTACGATCGTTTTCGGCCCTACTTCTGATCGGTTAAGAAGGTGGTGCGAATCGGCTAATCAAAAAGCGCGGCACGAAAAACCCAAGTAACTCGCTAAAATGAATTTGGAAAAAACTGAAAAGCGCAATAAAATTAAAAATAGTGAGCTTTTAAGTAGCCACGACGATAACATCAACGACAACTACGAAAAACAAATGGTTTTATGAGCCAAACAACAGCTTTGCACGTGCATCACTCTTTTTAGTACATTTCTTTGACGTTCAATGAACTTCTACGACGTGACACCTCCTAATGCGACGTTTTGTGGAGGACGTAAACATACCACGACGAATTTCTCTTCCTCTTTTTGAACCTGGATAAAGTGCTTAAGAATTCAACTCCAGGAAAAATCGCTGACATTTGACACATTGAGCGGGTCCAAATAGACGCGATAAAGTTTGAGAGGATGCAATTTCATTTTTTAAGCGCCGTTTTCTTTAACGTCGTCGTCGTTGCTTGAGGGCCATAAGCCGGAAAACTGCCCTTCATCAGAGTACGTAGTCACGGTTGCCCCTTACCTGTTCGGCAGCGTGTATAAGCGCCGTCATAGAGTTCCTTTTCTCCTCAGTATTAACACCAGCGCCTCTCCTGATCAGAAGCTTAACGACCTCATCTTGCCCATACGTTGCTGCCCACATGAGTAGTGTCATACCGGAAGCGGTGTCAATCATATCCGGGTTAAAATCGGGTACTGCAAGAGCTCGTCTAACCAGCATGATGTCACCTCCTCGAATGGCTTGCTTTAGATCAGCTTCACAGCGAAAAGAAAATCACATTAACGAAACCATCAAAAAGCCACCTCTTAAAACGTTACAGGCTTTTTCAAGGGCTTCCAGGGGTCGCAGTTGACTCGAGAGTTAGCTGTGAAATTCATAGCCTGAGAAAATGGCCAACATTTCGCGAAACCACCACTGGTCTCCCCGCAAAATGACGTTTGGGAAACGAGCGCCTACCCATTTGCTTCAACCAATCAGAAATACTACCCAGATCTGGGTGGTGACGCGCCGACAGTATGGAATTTCTTCATTCGTTTCCCAGACGTTCTTTCGTAGGTAAAACAGGGGTGGCGTTGCAAATTGTTGGCTGTTTTCTCAGGCTATAAAATTCAAAAAACGCAAAGCTTCGTTCTGTTCGTGCCACAAATATAAACATTTTGTTCAAAGAAGTTTTTTTCGCAGGCAAAGTAGACAGAAATGGTATCGTTTTAGCCATTTTGAATAAAAACCTTTCGCAGATCATTTTTCTCAACGTTAACTTCGAACAGTACTTCTTCGACAGAAAAAGCAAAGGAAAATTACACTTTGTTACAAATCGTGTCTTTCTTACGGCGTTTTCAAGACTGTTGCCTTATCTTCTAGAAAGTTTACTTTCTTACCCCATGACAAATTCAGCGGTTCTATCGTGGGAGAAGATGATCGGTCTGGTACAACAGATTCCTAGAGACAGATAAAAAAAAAAACAGTTCCATTGATTGATAATAAACGGATGTTACTAAAACGGGGAGAGAGGAAAAGGGCATGGGGAACGCCGGGGAAAATGAAAAATGGGAACAAAACCTAACTTAAACCCAGTTCTATCAGTAACTTCATTCCCAATTCTTTGCTTGCTTCCCATTTCTCAATTTCCCGTTTCCCGCGCTCCTTCCCTTCTCCCCGTTTTAGTAACATCCTCAATAGAGAGGACATATGACGTCATGTTGCCATGGTAGCAAAATTTCTGGATTACAACCAACCGAAAACTTCACGTAAAAAGTGAATTCACACTGTTTCAAACTTCATAGATCTTATTCAATTTCATTTAATTCGTCAAATGTTGGCGAAATTTTATGGGGCGGAATCCGAAAGGACCGTATATATATATATATCTAAATTTGGAAAAAGAAAAAGAAAATTTTTGTGTTGTGTTCGCGTACTTCATGAAGGGGCAGCGAGAAATTTCATGTCGAAGTCGTGCAACGACGGCTAAGAAATGTACAAAAAATCGCAATGCACGTGCAAAGTTGTTGTTTTGCTAATAGAGCGGTTTTCATTTGAGTGTCGAAAAGTAATTGGTTTTGCACTTTCTACACGATGCGATTGGCTTAAATCTAAGCGCGGTGGAAAAGTAGGTTAGTCTTCATTTTGGTTTCGGTATTGTGACGCGCTCGCATGCATTTTCCCGCGCTTTGCGTCAGCCACATGTAATTACTTCGAGTTTTGATTGGTTCAATGTATTGACTGTGTCCTATGTGATTGGCCAGAGTAATTACTTTGGTTTTGGTTTTACGACACTCAAACGAAAACCGCTCTATTAACCAATTAATTGCCGTTCTCGTTGCCGTCGTCGTCATCGTCGTCGTTGCTTAAGCTTCCGAAAATTTTCCTACCATGGTAACATGACATTACACTTCTCTCCATTAACAATTAACAATTCTAGGTCGCGGACGTTTTTTAGAAGGGGGAGGGGTGGGTAGTAGCTGGTATCGTTGGACGATGCTCCAGGACCTCCACCCTTCCCTTCACCTTGTTGACATGTCTCACTTATGCTTGCGTAAACAGTTTAACAATGAGAAGCCTACGAGCAAGCTCTCCATTTGGGGGAGTCGCGAGTAGTCACCCGAGAGGCGCACGCGAAAGAAGACGGCGGTTCGCTTCACTCGCCATACCTGGAGAGCTTGCTCGCAGGCTAAAGAATGAGGAGCAAAGTGTTCAGCCATAAGAGAGTTTGGTCGGCTTAACGTATTAATTTCAAAAAGAAGAACGGGTTTACTTACCTTACCTAAGACTAAAGTATGTATCCTAGTAAAACGAAAGCTGTTATAAAGTAATATAAGTCTGTTCAACTTACATGGTGTAGACCCTCCGACTGAATCGGTTCTACTTTCCCCTCAATGAATCCATTTGATGTCACCTTCTTTGGCAAAATTTTGTACTTCGCAAAAGTTACCTTCATTATTATTACAATTTTTTCACACAAAGACAAAAAAGATTTCTCGCGTTACTTCCTACAGGGAAAACTAGGTAAGCAAGTTACCTCCACGTCATTGAAAAAGGAATGTGGCGAGTAGTCATCAAGATCGAACTCAAAATCACTCAAATCGTCTTCTCCATCTGATATGTCCTCCATTCCACTGTCCTGTAATCATAACGACAAAAATGTTGATCTAAAATTAAACTTTCAAGTCCTTTAGGTGCCGTTTCAATGGAGAAAACTCGTGTCCCGGGTAGCCGGAGGGGACACTCGCCTACCCGAGCTAGCCTGGGCAAGCCACCTTTGGCCTACGTTTTCTTCCCAGACTTGGCGTACCTTTTACACGAGAAACAAAAAAAAAAAAACGCCACTTGCACGTCTACCATAAAACTACTTATTTGCCCCCTAAAATTTTGGATAACCTTTGTTTTTCATTTCTCCTGGGTATTACAGCCAGGACAAATTGAAAACAATGCTTATGCAAAATTTTGGGGGGGCAAATAAGGTGCACTATGTGAGGTATGCAAGTGGCATATAAACCATCAGCTCGCCCAGCAAGGCCAGCTCCGCAAAGGCGAGACAATCGGAGCATGCGGTCATGCAACTCTTGGCTCCGGCAAAAGGGTCAACTTTTTTCTCTCATGACCCTCCTACCCGGGAAATCTTTTCGGATCAAAAGGTTTCTTGGAAACTGCCAACCTACCCCTCCCCTAAGCCAACATTAACACTTACTTTTCACTTAGGGCAAAATGTTAGCTTAGGAGAGGGGTAGGTGAGCAGTTTTTCAGAAACCTAAATTGATCCATCTTTTCTCCATATAAAAGGGACCTTAGGGGCCGACCATTTAACTCTTGAGGGGGGGGGGGGGGGGACTCAAGAGTTGAATGGGCGGCCCCTTAGTCACTTATAACAAATCTATAAATATGTAAATATAATACCTAGCAAGGCGCATTTTAAGAGTTTTAAATTCCTAAATTTCTTGAGTTTAAGATAGTTGATTAATTCATAGAGACAATTTTTATAACGTCGTAAGCCTAAGTTTCATAGCCTTGGTCTGACGAGGGAAGAAGTTACAGAAGTCACGAGGAAGTTGCGTAAAAAGAAAATATATATATATATATTGATATTTTAATAAGCCCATGATAAGTAAATGTGGAGTTGTACTTTTTTTTTCTCTTTGAATTTCTCGAGCTGTATACAAAAATCATTGTCATTAAATTCCGTGTTCAGAGCTTGACACCAAACCCGTGGTTAGATTTTCCTTTCCTCTTTGGACTAATGACGTGTTATATTTCCTTTTATGATATAGACACGAGTGTTTATTATATAGACAGAAGTGTTTTACCACTCGTAAAATTCATAAAAACTACATCCTGGACCCGAGTGGTTTATTTTCCATAATATCACACGTGACGATGACGTAATTTCAGTAATTTCCCTCTATTATTTTATCGATGTCTTTTTGTCTATATAATAAAAAGAACCTAACACGGCAGCTTGGAGATATGAATTTTATTTTTTCGTGGCAAAAACAATATTTTACTCACTCGCTGCGCTCGTTCGTAAAATACTGTTTTGCCACTCGAAAATAAAATTCATACCTTCGCGCCACCGTGTAATATCCTCTATATATTACTCTTTTCCCTTCATTTATGCTGTCGGCTTTCGCCTTAATTGAAAAAAATGCGACGGCTGTTGGCAATAGATACACAAAACTATCTTAGAAATAGACTGCAAAACACTCCGTATTTTTGCGTATTTAAGTACGCGCGAGCAGTCAAACAAAAGGTCTGGAACGAGGCTGAAAACGATTTCTTTACTGATTTTGAGCAAAAAAACCCGACTGTTTTGCAGTCTATCTTTGAAAACGCGCGTTCTGCCGTATGTCGCAGCCAACCATGACAATGAAAACAACTGTTAAGACCTTAATAAATTAAGGTTTAAATTCTTAAATTGCTTGAACTAAATCTCTTGAAGAAATATCAGTAGTCTGGGATACGTTCGTCGCAGACTAATATTTTCATTACCTCGAATCATAAAAGTGAATCATTACTACAAAGTGTTTACACAAGAACAAATTCTAATCAATAAATTATGCGAAAACCTGAAAATAACTTAGTTTCAAACAGCTGATCGCTGCATTAAATTAGGCGACTCCATAATTTTCAATTATCTGAAAACAACTCCGTAATGTAAAAATCTGCAATGAAATTGAAATTATAAGTTTTTTTTTCTTGAAATTAGGGTTATCATCGCCAACAGTAGACATAAATATATTTACCAATCAGAACAGAAAGTGCCGCGAATCGGTACAATCTGCAATTATTCAAAATAATATGGAAATAAAACGAATTTATAACAAAAATAACGCGTAATAATAAAAGTGGATCTCGTCGACACAATAACTTACCCAGGGTTTGTGCTTTTCTTTCTTATCTCTTGGTTTTTTCTGTGAGATTTTTTTCTCGTCTGATTTACCGTCCTTTTTGCCAGCAGAAGTCAGCGGTACAGGTTTTGTTTTATTTTCGTCTATCTTTCCACTATCTTGTATAATCGCGCCGACAAGATCGCCATCCATGAGCGGAACTGAACTGGTCTTGTTTTGCATCGGCAGCAATTCCGCTGTCGTTGAAGCACTCATTTGTTTATCCGGTTTAACGAGCGCTTCGTTCATCACCCTAGTAATATTTTCCGTTACTGGTGACACGGCCGCGTTATGCGATACTCCAGTCGAACTATCGATTAATGCCTGCTTTCGCTTCATTTCCCTCACGGGTCTTGGTAGTCCTGTAGTTTTTTTAGCCTTTCCTTTGGAGGGTTTTTGGTTTATCCGTCTCAAAGTTGCGATGTCCGAATCACTGCATCGAACTGACGTGTCTGTCTTCGTTTCACTATTGTCTTCTTTATTGACACTTGCTTCGATTACTCTTGCTTGTAATTGCTCAAATGAATCAGGTAAAGTTGACACGTTCGAATTTTTGATCGACGCAGCCATAACCTCATTCTTACCACTTCTCACAGAATCCGTAATTTCTTTCTCAGAATTTGTTTTATTGCTGTTTTCTAAAGTCTGAGGGAGTAAATTCTTTCCCTTCATTGTTTCCTTGTACAGCGACTTCAAATTAGAAAACATAGAAGGTAGATTTATGGGATTTACCGAGGGGGACACTTGGTTGGAATTTTCATCGGTCGAAGAGTGTTCGTTAAAAATTTTCGTTTTCTCAATCTGAAACACTTCCGGGGTCTTTTCAAGAGATTCTTTGTCAGTTGCTCCTTCCTCCGAATTAAAATCTATTGGAGGAAATGCATCGGTCTTTGAACTTGTTTTATTTTTCGTACTGAGTTCTTCAACAGAGTCTTTGCGAAGCTTCTCAAAGTCATTTTTAAATTGAACACGCTCTTTGACTTTCTCTGGATTACTATTTTCGTTATTTTTCAAACGTGACTTTCCTGGCTTTATGCGTTTCTTTTTCAGCGTCGTTTTCGACGAATGTTGCGCGGACTTCGTAGTCGACCCTTCCTTTCCACTCTCTGAATCACTTTGTGAAGATATGAGAATACATTCTGCTACAAATGGTTCGGAACTTTGCGAAGAAGTTTGCTCTTCCTCGTCTTCTGTGCCTTGCGATGAAATTTCAATTAGTTCAAAACTGTTCTCTTCTGTTTCAACTTGCTTAGAGTCTTTTCGTTCTGCCTCAACAAAGTCATCCTCCTTCGTATCAGACAAAACGTCCTCAGAAATTGTCCAGCTCACTTCCGATTTAGAGTTCACCAAAGCTTCAGATTCTTGTTTCTTTCGAAGCGAGACAAGAGCAAGTTCTTTACTGGCCTGCCTTGTAAGTCCCAATGGGGCAATCTCGCCGTAATCAAGAAGCAAAAAATCTGTAGGCGAGATCCCAAACAAAGAATCGTCGTCTTTGATAGAAGATTTTCGTCTTTTGGTGGCCATATTATGATCACTTGTCTCCGGAGATGTTGAGCTATACTGCTCTGCCGTGTCTGTATCGGAAAACAATTGCTGCTTTGGAGGACGACCTCTTTTCCTCTTTTGCTGAGGTAAAGCCATCTCTTTTTCCTTGTTATTTAGATCCTGAAAACAAGAAAAAGTTCGGTGGCAGTTTAAGGAGCAATAATACTCATGGATTGCAGAGCGGGTAAGATTTTATGGCTTGGAAAAAAATGGAAAAGAATATCTGGTTATGAACAAATTTCAGCATGATGAGAAATTTTGCTACATCCTTTGAAGGTTGTTATTTCAAGGTGAATCCAAAACACATACCTTCAAACTGAAGGAACTTCCAATTTTTAAACGAGGTAGTAGCTTTAGAGTGTAAACAATGAGTAACTAAGAGTCGGTTTTCAGAAAGGCGTCTTGCGTGATAGCTCGCTCCAATTCTTTCATAATCGCGTGCTATATTTGCACGAGCTGCCGAAGACAGAATATGCCTGTAGCGTCGTCTGTGCTACTTAACGCCAACATACCGCAAGTAGATCCTGGCCGAGTCGTTCAAAAGACAATCAGCGCAAAACCATACCATGGCAACCCGGTTTGGAACAACTCGGCCAAGAGCTAAATTTGACAGCGTCTTAGGAAACGATGCTGGCTTAGCTTTCTTTATTCTTGGCAATGGAACTGAAGTATTTTTTCGTACATTTTCTTGACACTCTTCTCCACGCAGACAAAATTAGGGAGCTTAAGCAACGACGACGGCAACGGCAACGAGAACGTCAAAATAGCTATAGGCTTAGATGAGCAAAACAACACTTTGCACGTGCATCACGCTTTTTTGAACACTTCTATTTCACTGCCACGTGAAAGTGCCTAATTTAACGTTTTGTCGAGGACGAAAACACAGGACAACTTTCTTTTTCTTTTCCCGAACTTTGATACAGTCCTTTAGAATTCAACTCCAGAACTGCCATGCAACATCTGATGAACATATAGAACAAGATGAAATAAGCGCGATAAAGTTGTAAACAGCGCGAACACACTTTTCAACTGACGTTTTCGTAGCCGTCGCCGTCGTTGCTGCTTAACCTCCCCTACGTCTGATACGCTACAGCGCATGTCAGAGGCTCGACACCTTTTTTTTTTTTTTTTTTTTGCGTCTGCGTTCCCTCGCCCTCTGGAAATCGAGCCTGTAGTGGTTGACAAAGATTTTTGAATTTTCGCGGCGGTTAAACCGGCTACGCGTCGGTAGCCGCAACCTCTATTTTGCGAGAAATAAAGGCACTTTCTCTTACCAAAAAAAGAGAAAAATACCAGAAAGGGAACGAAAGAGTTATCATTATTGTATTATAATTGTAACCAAAAGTTGATAAGAAAGCCGATAGGAAATAATATAATTTGTGTAAATTAGAATTGACATAAATTATTATTTTACCGGTACGGAACGGAGGACTGGGTTCTATTGTAGCGCGCGAGGGATCGCGGTTAGGGGGTTTGATATAGTGACGTTTAGTTATGCGTGTCATTCTACGGTCGGCCTCGCCGCATCAACTTGCTTTGTTTAGTTTAGTTTTCGCTTATTCTCTTAGCCTTAATTTCGTTACCATCTGTACTGGTCCTTATGTTTCTTAGCTATTTTATGTAGCATCTCGTTTTCTGCTCGTATTCATGTTATTAGGCTTTATTTTATTTGTTTTGCCTTTTAACCCCGAAGACGACGCCATAGCATAGGTTGGGGTTACACGGTCCCTATTTCTCCAATAGCTGGTTTTTTCGGCTTTACGTGTCCGGTTGTGGCGTGTTCTTGGAATTACGGTAACAGTGGAGTTTTTCACGCGTGTTAACAAAGTGTTTCATGGGCCCTGTCTGGCCGACGCGCCCATGCCTCCAAGTGCTGTTTTGTATGTTCGGTTGTGTAGTGGAGGCAAATTATGTGATATCCAACGCGCGATTTAAAGGTAGATTTTGGCACACATTTTTTTTTTCTCTGTCACAAACTATACATTTGAAATTTAAGTTATCACTTGACAAAAACTCTCCTTGGTAAATTAAAAGAAAACAGATAAATTGCGCTTTTGTTCCATTGCGCACACTCGTGCAAATCTCTCCAGTTTTTGAGAAGACTGTGGGACCAAGGATGCTGCCAACAAGCTTTGTAGGTACTAATTTTCTGTAAACAAACACAATCTTACCTTTCGACCGTCTTCAGTATCACTCTCATCGCTATCTTCGTCCGTAGTTTCTCTAATTTGTTTCTGTAAGAGGAAAGCCAAAATGTAACCATTCAGCCTCACAAAATCTACTAAAACGTTCAATTACTTACAATCGTAAACTAGTGTCAAGGTCTTCCTACCATAGTGTACTTTAACTTTGTATTGTTGGGGATGGTTCGAGCAACTCGCTCGCTGAGCGAAGATTTACCGTGAGTCTATGTTTTTATCTCGGGATACTTTATTCTAGTCAACAATCAAAAGTAACCGCCTGCTTCTAACTAACTAACTAACTAACTAAGCAATTAATGGAGAACTACAGTCTATAGACATGTTTGGGCAAGCTGTACACGAGAGTTCTTAACGCACTTCCTGTTTATGACGAAAGTGGTTGAAAACAAGCCGCGACACGGTTGAACACGCCAAGAATAAGTTAACCAATGAAAGGTTGTTGAGAAAGTTATCTTCAGAGTTGGACAGGAACTCTGATATACGTAATAACCATCACGGTCAGCTTTAACCTCATGCATGCCCATGTCAAGACATTTATTGGGCTGCCTGTGGCATGCCCAATTATAAAATGAGTTTTCTTTGTCGAAAAAAAAGGCAAAACGGACGGTTTTCAGGACGGCTACGGGAACCGGAAATGAAGTCATACTCTTCTGCGCGATAACCATGGCTAAAAGCGAAGCTCTCGTTAATATATAAAGATTACTCAAACAAAATATAAAGTAGTGTAATACTAAGCGACGACGGCAAAGAGAATACCCAAAAAAATCAGCGGTCTAATTAGCAAAAAAAAAAACAACAACAACAACAACTTTCCACGTGCAGCACACTTTTTTTGTACATTTCTTTGCCGCTGTTATGCACAAGTACAACGTGAAAGTGGAGAAAATTTTGTAAAAGTTCCTGTTCACTTTTTTAGCTACCGCTCATTTTCACCTTGGTGGCCGCTAGCATTTCTCATTTTTCTAACCGCCGCTAAAAAATTTCATGTTTTTCGTCCAAACAAATTGGTCTCCTATGTTTTTTATCTCTCGCTCTAGCACTTTCTCTGTTATCCACGTCAATGTAGACATAAAAATTAACGCGGGTGCTTGAAAAGCAAAATTTCACCCCGGCTTACATAAAGTGGTGGAGTACAATGTAAGTACGGACGTACGTCGTACGCACGATTTTGTCAGAACCAAAATTTCTTGGATCAAAGGACTGCAAAACAGTCCGTATTTTTGCGTATCCAAGTACGCGCGAGCAGTCAAACAAAAGATCTGGAACGAGGCTGAAAACAGAGAGCGAGACTGAGGAGAGACGCTTTTTCTGTCGCCTCACAAGCCCTACGGGGGTGTGAGGCTCGCGCGCCTCGCGCGCGTAAGACTCTTACGCCACGCGTTACCGATTTCTTTACTGATTTTGCGAAAAAACCGACTGTTTTGCAGTCTAGGATCAAGAGATAACCAAGTTTTCTTGCCTATATGGTGCTCCGCGCACGAGAGCTTCGCTATTAGGAAACTTATTCGCCCCTGACGTCGCAGATCCCTTTTTAGCCATTTCCATGCTAATTAATTGAAAACCAGTCCTCTAAAAACTGGAGGATTTGGTTAAAAAGCGATGTCTTACCCTTCAAAATGCCCGTTGCCAAAGGGTATTAAAATACATTCGTTCTGAAATCATTTTGTTAACATTTTTTGTGTGTTTAGTATAACGAAACAAGTCTTTGAAATTGGGAGGGGCGGGGTTACATGAGAGTTCAGGGGCTAAATTTAATTGACTGGTCAGATGGAGTGGCCTAGTGCTTATCAGAGAGCTTACAACAAAATCTACTAGTAGCCTTGTTAGTTATCTATATGTAACTCTTTCACTCTTTGGGTCAATTATGGACACAAAATGAAGCTTAACTTTTGACTCAATGAATAAAATCCTATTTTAACCCCATTTAATAAATCAAACTTCGTGAGTAGTACTCTCACACCCTACTATTTGTTTTGCATGTGAGTCTGTGGATGATATGCTATGGTGTTAGCATTCAACTTAAACCTCTTCAGCTGCAGTTATTTCACATGGTGCTATTAATTTAGTTTGCTGTTCTACGGGGAAACCATACCAGTGTAACCTCACAGCAGGCTTTCTTTCAGGTACAGGGCTGACTACTGAGTCTGAGAATGAAACCCATCAACGTGGCCATTTTCTTGTCATCTTAAAATGTTTGTGGTGGTGGTGGTGGGGGGGGGGGGCAGAGGGGGGGGGGGGGGGGGGAGAATGTGGTGGAACAACACAAAAAAGGGCTGGGAAAGAGACTTTACTGACGCAAGGAAAAATTTGTCTTTCAGTACCCATTCTTGAGAGTTGGAGGATTAAATTTCTTAAAGTTTTTCTCCCCCGTTTTGTGGTTCCTTCCTTTCTCTCATTTACCTCTTTTATTTGTATTTTTTTCCCGTGGGGCTTTTAATTTGTTTGGTGGTCTTACGGGGAAACCATCCGAGTGAAGCCTCCAGGCAGGCTTTTTTTCGGGTACGGGGGTGGCTACTGAGTTTGAAAATGAAACCCATCATGTTGGCTATTTTTTTGTCATTTTAAAGTGTTTGGGGGGGGGGGGGGGGGGGGGGGGGGCAGAAGGGGAGAGGGGGTGGAGAGAATGTTGTGTGACAACACAAAAAATGGCTGAGTAAGAGACTATACTGACGCAAGGAACAATTTGTCTTTCAGTGACCAATCTTGAGAGTTAGAGGATTAAATTACTTACAGGTTTTCTCCCACGTTTTTTGTGTCCTTCCTTTCTCTCCTGCCAAAACCTGTCCACCAGTTCCTGACAAGTTAGAAGATTATCACTGGGTTCCCAGGAGTCCTCTTCTGATCCATAACCTTCCCAGCGCACTTTGTATAATGCTTTTCCATCCTACCAAACACAAATAGATAAAAATTGGCCATTAATAAAAAATAAGAGTCCCTATTTAAGACTTCCTTCCCTTGTAAGGTCCAACTTTTGAGTGACCTTAGCTGATTCAATGTTTTCACCCTGTACTTGACAAAAACTTAACATGTACAGTATGCCATGAATGTTTTTAACCTGATGTTGGTCCTTAGATAGGTTTAATTAACAATCCTCATTTTAAAAATGTGTCGATCTCCCAAAACATTTGTTGAATTTTGGCCGTCCAAAAACTGCTTTTTCCCCCAGAGAAATGTCCCAGAGACTGGAAACCAGTGACGGATTGAAGATAGGCGGATGATATCATGTGACATCAGCTGATTTGCTTAGCCCTGACTTCCAATTCTGGTCATTGCATTGTGTTTTGACAAGGTTTTGTGGAATTAACCAATGTATTTGACTTCAAAATATTACTTTACAATTTTTAGGGGGTTCACAAATTTCTTGTTTGAAGGTAGAAGGAATGTTATGGAGTCAAATTAGATCAAGAGGATTTCCCATAACCTCACAAAAAAGAAAACTTGAAGTTAATACATGGCTATAAAAACCAATTCATGTTATTCAAATGAAACAAAGCCAATTCACAAATTAACAGGGAAAAAAACAATGGATTCCCCCAAAACCCTTAACAACCTCGCGCTGAGCATGACACAGGAATTTTGCAGAACTTTGAACATGTGTGACTGCATGCAGTTTAGTTATTAAATTTAGGGAAGTGATAGCCTGAGAAAACAGCCGACATTTCGCTACACTACCTGCAGTAGTTTCGGCGCCAAATGATGCCTGATAAACGAGTGCAGAAATTCCATACTGATGACGTGTCACTACCCAGATCTGGGTAGTGCTTCTGATTTGTTGAATCAAATTTTCCACGCAGCTCGACCAGTCAGAAGCACTACTTGGACCTGGGTAGTGACGCGTCATCAGTATGGAATTCCTGTGCTCATTTCTGAGACTTCATTTGGTCAGGAAACCAGTGGTAGCATCGCCAAATGTTAGCTGTTTTCTCAGGCTTAATTAGGAAAGTGAGCAAATGAAGCTCCAGTTAGGATCATTGTAGATGGCAAACAGAGAGTGGAACTTGACTCACTAACAATAATCACTTTACTTCACAGGCATCATTCAGGGCCATTTGGCAAGCCAAAAGATTTCACGGTAATGACTGTTTCCTGCACCGTGTCATTACCATGACCTCAAAATAACGGAACCAAAAAATAGTTTCCCGGTGACATACAGTAAAAACCCACAAGTAAGAACCTACATTTTCCAGGGTTAGCCTAAACAGGTTCTTACATAAATGGTGGTTGACATAAATTTAGGCTATCTAGGTTCTTAATAGGTTCTTAATTTCTTGCAAAAAATTGTGTTGTTGCTAGGAAGATTAATTTTATATGCATGTCATAATTTTTAACATTAGAATTGACATGTAACAACTACTCATCCACATTGATCATACATTTATTATACCATTTCTCTTTAAGTAAATATTTTAAAATGATTTTTGAAAATAAGAATCTGTTTCCAAATTTTAGGCTAAAGAGGTTCTTAAATCTTAGGCTCTTACTCATGGGTTTTTACTGTATCCTGATAAATTCAGGCTGAGGGATCAAAATACACAAATTATATAGTATTTTCCCACTCGGATTGTTAACTAGTAGAGCAATTTTCTTTGGTTATGACTTGGCTGATAAATGAAATTAAAATGTTACTATTTTTCTATCGTCTGCCATCTTGAATCGTTCCCAAAGTGCAATTTGCTCGTTACTGATGACTCATGCATGAAAGATGTCAGCGATTGTTATAGCTTCCAGTGCTAAGAAAAAACATATGACACTCCAAAAGTTTAAGAAGGTGGTCTTTTAGTGACGATTTCACTGTGAAACTGATTATGAGGCCCAAATGTCTTTATGAAAAGACAAGATCTGTGGCGAACATTTCAAGTGAGTATACTTCTTCAGTTGGATCGAAGAAGAGTCTGGAGTTTTAGACACTTAAGTGCACACACATTTAACACTAAAATTGACCTTCTTCTGACATTTTAATAGAAACAAATAATAGTACACATAAGTATGTTTAACAACACGTTTCTGTACGTCAAAAGAACTCAAAGTGCACGGGTTCCCATTTTGCACAGAACCAAAAAATTGTTACTTATGGTTTCCCATGATTTCTGGGCACAGAACCGAAAATATATTATCCATGGGATTTGAAATCCTAGAGCTTGATTTGGTGTTCTACAAAATACCCCTGGCACTGTGAGCAGGCCTTGGTAACTAAAATAAAAGAGGTCTATTTTTTGTAGTTGAAAGTTACTTCAAAGTATAAGTGCTCCGCTCCATATGGAACATTTTTAAAACTCATGAAAATTGTAACTATTAATTGAAAACAAGCAAACAAACAGTAAAGGAAAACTAATCACTTCGTTCTTTCAAATATTTTGGGAGAAAATTTAGAGAATCAAAAAGTTTAATATAGTCTTAAATTCTTGAGCATTAATTTACATTCCTCTTAGGCTGTTCAGGAAACAAGCCCATGCTCCTCCCTCAAACAGTAGGCTGGACGCATGAGTTTGCTATTGTCAATTATCACCAATCAGATCGATGCCTGCCCAAATCAAGCAGGCACTATGAATTTTGTATTTTCCTTGCACAGATTTCTAATGGGGCATGCAAAGCCGTTGTTTGATGTGGCGTGTGATCTTGTTTTAGAGTGTTTTGAGCTTAAAAACCTAAAATATTTACAAAGAAAAGTATTAAATGGTAAATGGTAAATGGTAGCTTTTTTTTGAAATTCAACCAACCGGAACTGGATCAATAATTATTTTCCAGTCTGCAAGTATGGTTGTTGGCAGCTAACATGAAAGAAACGACCGTCAAGTCCATCAGTAATGCAAGATCAATGTAAATACAATCAGTTAGAGTTTCTGCTGATTTTTATGGCAAATACCAAAGTGACAACGAGGCAAAGTACAACATGTGTTCGGTATTTTTATGAAATTTCCCATTTCTGACGTTTTGTAACAACGCATAAATCAAATTTTGAATTTACGTCACAGACACGATAGGCCACTCACACATTCAGCCGTCTCTCTCGGGATGGACCGAGAGAGCAGCCTACATTCCAGTCCGAATCGAATGCAAAGACCACAAGAAATGGAAACAAATTGTGAATCCATACATCTACAATCAAGCATAACTTCAAGAACTGTTTCAGGGTACAAAGAAAATAATTATTTTTACGGCTTGCCATTCAGGGTAAGGTGAAGGTAGCATTTACTAGCCCAGATGTCATTTCGATTTGCCCTGAAAGCTTTTTGACGAGCAGAATTGATTTCACACTTCTTCTGTTATTCCAGTTCCTCAAAAACATCACTTGCCTGTCGGGCAAGTTAAAAACAGAAGTCACTAGCCTGATAGCAAAATCCACTAGCCACGGGCTATCAGCCAATACTTTCTTTGCATGCTGTGCTGGTTGCAGCTACTCTTATGTGTGTTTGATTATATTGGCTGTGCACCATTAAGGTCTTCACAAGCTTTGCACTGTATTTGAAGGTAGTTTTAGCTTTTCTACTTTGCATCTTGCAGATACCATCTACTGGTTGTTTGAAAAAACAGTCTATTACCCCATTTTGCCTGATCAAATAAGCTCCCGGCTTCCTCTTTTCAAATAAATGAAACCCTTCATACATCATACATGTTAATGCAAATTAATAATGGCGAACAATATCTAAAGTGTTTGTTTGACAACTGAAGGCTCTTTTATTCATGTGCATTTTAAACTTGAGATACTATGTACAAACAGACTCGGCTCAGTTCAAGTCAAGAATATTGGAAAGTTACTACATAATAAAAAGAGTAATAGAGACAATTTTTAATTTCCCCGGGGGTGTGAAAAATTGATTAGCCCCCCTGAAAAAAGGGGAAAAGTATTCTAATGCACAGGGGGATGTTGCATGTTGAAGCTTCCATTTGACCGATACACAGTACATGTACATTAATTATGTTACAAGCGTCTCGCTAAACAAAAATCGAGGCAATAGGTATAAAACCAAACGAAAAAAAATGGTAAGTAAAATCAAGGAGGCTAGGAAATTCAAACAAATTTACTTACAGCTGACAGATGGAGAGCTAAAGCGTACTGTGAACAGCTGCGAGCAGCGCCAAAGGGAACCTTAAAAAACTACTACTAGTTGTATTACTCCTTCTGCTTAATCTCCGATTAGGCAAGTATTGGCTATCTTCATCAAAGCCGTCTTTAACTAAACACTGTGTGAAAACCATTCAATTAGGCCCGTTCGTCAAACAAATATGTAATGTAAGCGGATGGCCGGAACAGCGCTATTTCCCACGTATTGTACTCACAAAACAAGGAAAAAGCTTTCCACTCACCTTCCTTTTTGCATCTAAGATTTTCTCGACTTCATAAATGTTATCAACATCACTTTCTAAGTCCATAAGCCCAACTAATAGAAGACTCACATATAATCGAATCGACTTAGAGCGCGAGCGCTACGATTATAACGAATAAATTGAATTCCTGCTGAATCTGCAGTCATAAATGGCAGCGAAATGTTTATCGGACCCAGTCTTTTCCACTACAGAGTGATCATTCAGGAATGGAGACATGCAACTAAGACACACGATTGACACGAACAAAAAATCCCCCAAACCGAATCCGGACCAATCTAGGGACACAATTTCTTGCAGAAAAAAGACTAATTGGTTTTTCTTGCGGCTGAGTATGGAAAAAAATTATCCGTACAACCGAGATGGCTAGTCAAATCAACTCAAAGAACTTTGATCTCCCCCATACCAAGCCACCTGTCTTTTAAAAATCGCGCAGGTTGGCTTCCTTCTTTTTATCACTAGCTATATTACAAAAGGAAATTATTTGGGAGTTACTCATAGCTTTATCGTCTTCATGTAGGGAGAAGCGTTGCGTGACGACACTAAAAACGGCTGTGTAGCAGACTAGCATACCCTCTGACACTGTGTCTGAGAGATACGGTAAGGCCGGATTCACGTTCCGTCTTCTACACACTTAATAAAATATAATCGCAATCCAAAAGGCATGACTCTATCTCCAATGTGCTGGAAATTTCATTTCCGAGCATGTAGCGATTTCAGTTATTTTTCTAGGAGGGCGCATGCCCCCAGATTCGACCCCGGCCACTTTTTCCTTACTACTATCATAGTAAGGTGGCGCACATTGGAAACTGAAAATATTCATTGATAGTGAAATTCCTATCAACATTTTTCAATGACTATTATTCGTCACTCACTAGTCTTCAGCATATTGGCTTACAGCCTACAGTTAACTTTACGAATCAGCGCAACCCACAGTTAATTTTCTGCTAGCAGATAACTGAGCATTCTGTAGGCTCCTATGGTTGCGCTCGCACTGCATGTTTTCCACGAGCAATCAAACTGGGTTCAGCGCGATGGTATGCCGTGTTGTTATTTTCTTTTTTATCTAGCAATTACAGGATGAGGTCAAGTATGATCTGAAGAATTATGCAGCTCAGTCAAAGAAGGTGTGAGGAGGATGGAGGATGTCACCATCTGATCGATGTTAAGTTCCCGCAACTGAGAGAATTAGCCTGCAGTGCAGGCGTTTTCTTTGAGCGCGCCATTTGCTCGCGAAAGCGCCATGTGGAAATTTCCCTCCAAGAGAGGAGGAGATGAGGCGAGTATTTTTTTTTTCTCCCCTCCCCCTCCCCCCTTTCCTTCTTTCGCCCTTGCTCCTAAAGTAAGGGTTACTATTTCTACTCTCCCCAATCTTCCACTGTCATAAAATCAAAGATGGCAATTACAACAATATTACGAACATGGACAATGTTTCGCCCGCCCAAAATACGCCTGCACTGCAGGCTAGAGAGAATGAGCTCATTCTCTCTTGGTTCCCGTCTTTATCAGTTGTTATCTAGCAGATGTTATACATACAAACATACATTCCTACAAGCCTCCAAGCATACATACATACATGTACACTCTTTTTTTTTCTATAAGAATATGTATTTTATAAGATTATCGAGGCTGAAATTTGCGAAATTTTAACTGAATATTTTAAGAATAAACCCCAGGCTGCGATTTTGAAAAGGATATAATTATGTGTTCAAAACCTTAAATACAATACAATTGTACGTTTTCAACTTATTCCATTCTCTAAACGGCAAAACTTGCCAACAAACGAAGAAACCTGCACTTACTATAATTGATGACGACCCAAAATATTCTAAAACGGAAATGTCATAAGCTATATAATTTAAGAATAGAACAATAATATTTTCTGCCTAAAATCGGCAGAAAAATAAGAATATTCAGCCTAGGCCGGAGAAACAACATTCTTATAAAAAAACAGGATTCTCGAATTTAGAGAAGCTAAAGATAAGCTAGTATCTTCGAGTTACAAACTACTAAAATATTAAATTTATTTATTTATTACAATTGACAAAAAGACTAAGAAACATATGAAAGAACAAAAAGAAAAAAAATGCCATAAGGATGGTCAGCAAAAGAGTCATAGAACCCATATGAGACCGACAACCTAAATAAACAAAAAATAAGGAAAAGAGAATTATGTATATCAAAAAAGTAACAATGATAATTAACATATAAATATCTACAGAAATATTCGAGAGATTATCGAGTAGCCAAGAAATCAGCTACTTGCTTCTTCTTGAAACTACATACGAGTTGACGGTGGTAACGCATTCCACATATCAACAATCAAATTATAGCATTCTAAAATTTAAACTATTAAAACGAGTCATAATGTACAATTTGGCGCTTGAAATCAGTAAAGTCAGAAGTTCTAAAACATGATCCGGAAGAGAGTTCCATAGTTTTGAAGCCACGGTACAAAAAGGAGTGAAGACCAAATGTAGTACAGTTCTTGGAGACGGAAGAGACAAAACATAATAAAATAATGAAAACATATTCGTCGAGTTGTATTTTTTCTGTTTTACCTACAGTTTTTTTTGCACGAGTTCCGCTAGTCTACTTCCGCAAAGCGGGTGCAATTTTCTGCCGTTTTCTTCAGCTTTGAAACAGCTAAAACCAACCCAATCTCTCTCCAGGTCTTCTCGGCTCAGCTACCGTCCTTTTATCCTGCACTGTTGACGTCATTTTACTGGATATCGCCAGTCTTGCAAATTTGTTCACCCTCAGGTTGGTTATGAAAAATAAGCCGGTGGGTTTGAGCCAATCAGGAACGGAGACAAGACGATATTCATGTGTCAAAAACAGGAGCGGATCGAAGCTCATTTTCTCTTGTTGTACGTGAAAACCATTATATAAGGGCAGATAAGGGAAATGAATAATATGGAATTTACATTTGCAATTTCAACTTATTTTGTTTTCAATTTTTTACAGCTTGCTTGATTTTTTTTTTTGCCAGCGGTCCTCGACTCTATCGTGCGCGTGAGAGGTGGCAGGGAATATTTTGGCGCGTGCGAATATGGACATGCATGACAGACACCATTAGATTCATTTTCTGGCGGGAGTTAACCTTCAGTCTGTTGATTGGCTCTGGAACAAAAGAGTGCTAACTTTCATCATACTGGCTATTATAATTGGCTATTGTAAAATACAGCTCCAGCAATCAAGTTATGCATGGTAACTTCGTCCATTACTACAATAATTGAGGTTGAGGGTACCATCCTGCGGTCAGATCAGGAAATTGAAAACTTACGTTTGAAGTTGAAGATACAGAAACTGACACTACAGACGAAAATAAAGAAAAAAAAAGAACTGAAGAAGAAAAGTATATACTGACTTTTTCTTTTCAAAAATTGTTGCACCTTAAGTGTATTTATCAGCCACTAGCCGTCAAACAAAAGGCAAACACGTAAAACTGTTCAGTCGTGAACGAACAGTATTATTAAAAACGGGATAAACGAACAGTATTACTAAAAAAGAAAAATATCGACTTATCGGCGCAAATATCTGGGAATGTCAATACATTATACATTTTTCCGATGAGCGGAATGAAATTATTTTTGAAATTGTATAACCTTACGCAATGAATAATAGCTCAAAATCCTCTAAGGTGTATTGTATTCTTTGTCTTAGGTATACAATCAAATACCATGAGAGCACATCTTGCAATGACATTAAATTTATTGACTTATCTGGCGATTATCTCATCATTCTGTTATTCTAATTGCGGTTTTGCATTCTCATATCCAGGTGTATTTGTTATAAAGGGCGTATATTTGCTGTCTTGTAAAGTCTTTTCGACGATAATCTGAGAATTTTCTGCCCAACTAACAACATGCTTTTTCTTTCTTGTCAGACAGTTGTAATAAGTAAATATTTTGCATAACTTGTGCTAAAACTGAGTTATATCTATTCATAATAGTATGTCATTGAGTAGGCATAAGGCCAGGAATTTTAAGTAGCCACGAAACGATACATACTCTTGGCTCTGTTAATAATTTGCGCACATATTTCATTGTTCTGGTGGGTTTCGCGTTAAGGAAATCCATGAATTGTCTTGGAGTATCTGGTAAGCTTACGTGTAAAAAACATCACACATGCCTGTCAACACGTTTGAACTATCTTTACGCTTGAATGCGCCTGCGTAACCCCTTCGGGCAGAATTAGCCGTTATTTTTATGTAGTATTTTTGATGTCAATGATTTTCTAAAATTTCACAAAACAGTTTTCCACGAAACTTAACATGAGGCGTTTGTTTCTTGTGAACATACTTGGTGATTTGTTGTTGTCGATATTAGTGATGACATACTTTGTCTACCGTGCTATCGCAACTAGCGCTCAGGGTCTTCTTCCTCCAATGAAGCAACAGTCAAATGAAGGGACCCTTTAAGTTCCGGTAATTCATGCTGCAACTCAAGTCCAAACTCAAGAATGAGTTTCTTTAAAGCCTCTTCATCAATATTGTCTAGCACACTCCACTGGTCACAGAAATCCGATGAGGGCTTGATTGGGTGTGTTTGACACGAGCTCTTGCCCAAAGATTCATTGTTATGTTCACACATGTTTGATCTGCTCTGTTCTGGTCTGTTACGATGTGTCTTTATAATTACTTGGCATCTGCGACGTATTCGCGTCCACTGAAAATTACCTCCCTGCAAGACGAACTAGCTACAATGTAGCTCAGTGTTAAATTACATGTATATCAAAGTTCGCTCTCTTGAATAACTCTCGGTGTCTCGATCCTGGCACAGTTTTACACGATTGGCCACTTCTAACACCCACCTCTACTCTATCGCAGCCAGTTGAGTTGTGTCTGTTTTCCCCTCTCCGAAATATTCTCACCTTGAAAAACACTGGCCTCTTACAAAATGATTGTTTCAAGAGTGAACATCCGCTGATACGACGATTTCCGTCACAACCCCGGTACTCGCGAAGAAACACGTCTACACTGCGACCTGGTTATTTTGGGAATGAGTTATTGTGTACATATGTAATTTTTAATAACACTCCACATCGTCACCCAAGGGAACACGCATAGTTTGAATTAATGTGTTGATTCAATAGTAGAACCCCC